GTACAGGTTGGGCTTATTCCTGAAGACGGATCGTCTTTCGAGCTAACTTCTCCTTTGGGTACTTTTGCGCCGTCGTCTCACATTTTCTTTATTCCTGAAAAGCAAAAGTTCGACATTTTCTTTCTTTAAAATATACATCGAGTTATTATTTGTCTATATATTCTTCTCTTTTTTTTCTGATAAATTTTTAAAACCCGTTACTTTTTTTTTTAATTTGAAAATTAATTAATTTCTTAATGATGATCTTTTTCTTATTACAGGAAACTATTTTTCAAAACTTTTTCTATGATTTTTATTATAATGAAAAGGAAAATTGATTAATATGAAAATTATTTCAAAGACGATGGAAGAAATTTAAGAACCAACGAGTTTTGATATTTGTTCTTTCAGTCTGTCGAATTTAGCACATTTTATTGCATATATATATATATATATATATATATATATATATATATATATATATATATGAAAAGGGGAAAAAAAAATTTTCTAAAATTTAATATTTTTCACTATCTCGTTTCTCACGTTCACGATGAAAATATACCTACGTATTTCTTCTGCACTTTGTACGCGAGATTCGTTGCTCGTTGGAAAAATATAAGTTTTACTCATGAAAGATGAAACAGAAGTAGAAAAGTTAAGGCGAGAAATATAAAGTTTCAAAGAAGCATGTTGGTTTTTTCGAACCTTTAAAAACCGATTCGAATAACGTTGCAACACATTACGCAGTTTATGTTAAACTTTTTTTTTTTGTTTTTGATTGTTCCTTTTATCTTTTGCACAATGTCAATAATTTTTATTTATTTATTTTTTTTTTAAGAATTTCAACAAAAGAACTAAAGGAAAATTAACTTTTTATGATAGAATTTTTATTTTTATATTCTTTTCTCTTTTTGTTATAATATGCGAGAGGATGAAAATGGAATTTATGAGAATGAATGTTTCACTGAACTAAGGAATAAATGTTTCAGTATATCATAATAATAATTAGCTCCTTGTTGAAAATGATTCATATTAAACTGGAAATATTCACATTCCACTTAATGTTAATTTCAAATTTCATGAATAAGCTACTTAAGCAACTATATATATATTCAACGAACAAGAAACATTAGAGACACGTTCTGCTTTATAATTATTCTAATTTGATAAAAAAAAAAATAAATCTATTGATACAATAAACTACTTTTGGCGAGAATTAAATAAACCTTTGTACAATTCGAACTTCGGACCCCTGGTTATCTAGATGCCTGAAAAATATCCAGAAAAAATCATAAAACTTCAACATTATTAGTTTCAGTGGAATATTTTCATCTTCTGGTTACAAGGACTGTTCACCAAGGATCACTTTCTCTCTCTCTTTTATTCAGAATTTAACAAATCAAATCTAATTTTTAAACTCAATTTAAAAAAAGATCTAAAGCTAATATTTCAAATAAATTACAATTCAATAATTTGTGTCTTCAAAATTCTGTTTCCTTTCTACATGAATTATTACATTAATAATACAAATTTTTATATTTACATACAAATTGAAATTTATGTAAACTTTATCTCGGGGAAATAATTTTTTGATAAAATTATAATAGGGTATTGTTTGGAAAAAAAAAAAATCTTTTCACCCTCAAGCACTTGCATATCAGTCGAGTATACCCAGAATTGTAAAGCTTTGTCCAATATTCAGTGTGCGATAACGAGAATACTGAGAATATGAACAGCAACGATTTGCTCAGAGATTATGTAAAATTTCCTTCTCTAAATTAGAGTCGAGATGTCGATAAACGTAAAGAAGATTAACAAGCATGTTCTTCTTCATAAATCAAAATTATATTTAATATTTTATCTCATATTTATCTAGAATTTAGATAATTTTTAATATTTCCATTATAAATATAATATATAATCAATTAAACAAAAATATTGTGACGGAAAAATCATTCTTGACATTATTTTGAATATTTTGAAATAAACAATTATGTTGATCGACTATCTTAAAATAAGGGTATCGAGTCTGAGGTCAATGGTTCACCCCTGCGACCTTAGATCGATCTAAGCGCCAATATTTAACTAATTGGACGCATTGTCGAAAATCGCCGGTACACGCACTCTTTGTTCGACCGTTCTGAATGTAGTGCGTTTGATAATTGTAGTGTGTTGCAAAGGAATATATTCGACAAATTTTGTAATATCGTCAAATTGTATGTTGCGATGAAGAGTCGATACTCGATCAACTCAAGTAACTGTTTGATGTCTGATTTTTATTTTTGAAAATAAACAAATTTCCTGGAAGTTGCTTGATTTTATTTTTTTAATTTTTTGTGAGAATTCCCCAACGGTTCCTGCTTTCTTTTGCTCGTATAATTATTTGTTAATTTTATTTAAATTAACTAGCGTCCACGTGCTTAAATTTTATTATTTTATTTTTCTTCAAAGAGCCCAGCAACTTTGAACCCGGTCGCGCTGATGAGAATATAATTTTACTTTTTACTTATTTGAACTTGAAACGTATTAAACCCTTTAATTTTGACTGATCAAAAATTATATTCGTCTCAATATTCTGGATATATTTAAAAGAGAGTGAATAAATTTTTATATTGAAAAAAAATAGAATTTATATGTAGTTGATAGATTTAAGAAACCAAGATATTGATATAAAATGCTCAATAATCTCATATTTAGAGAAGGGATTTCTCCCTGGATTTAAGAGCGAGACCCGTTATGTAAAATATGTCCCCATAAATGTTCTCTCTCACTATATTGCGACAAATAGTTTGCAGATAAGAGATTTTCATACTGAAATCAAAATAAAGCTAAAAGAACAAATAATATTTTTTTGCTTTGATCATTTATTTAGAATTTAATTTTCTTTTATGAAATTAAAATTAATCTATATAGTCTTCTATGGAAGAAAATGTAGAAAAAGAAATTTTGATTTAAAAATGGAATTTTATCAAATGAACTCTTGGTAGGAGAATCTTGTATTTCTTTTTCTAGAATGGTGTGTAGTATCACAGGAAATCCTGAAACGAAGGAAACGTCGGGAAGCGACCACAAAGTTTTTCAAGAGCTGATGGGGTAGTTGATTCTTGGCGGAAGAAAAGAACTTTTTCCTGTGCGGTGTACTCGAAATCATGGGAGTAGAGATAGATAAACCAGGAAACATTTTTATCCAACGAAAGGATGAATATTTTCTGTTCTAATTTTTATCATTACTTTAAAGCAAAAGGAACATTTTTTAAATTCACTAAGATATTAACACTGTCACACTTTAAGAAAACTTTTCCTAATTTTTTCAAATATTATTTCTGAGTCATAAATTAAAATTGAAGTCTTCAGTTTGTAATAGATTTGCATATTTTAGGGGGAAAAAAAAGGAAATCAATAAAAAAAAAATACTGTTTCATCGTCTCTGGGTAATATCACTGAAGTTGGACACCTGGGTCCAGGTAAAGCCGCAAAACCATACCAAGAGGACGACGAGTAGTTGCAATAAACTGCAACTTGGATGGAACTTTAAGCCTGGGCTTGAGGTTGCATGTTTCTACAGGACACTCGAGGCTTATTACTCCTTACACTATGTGTTACAAGGAGGTTCAAAAGATACCAACTCAATTACTTAATGTCGTCCTTTAAATTATATCTAATGAGACGAGAATTTCCAATAAAATATAGATTCAAGCTGAGACGAGTCAAAAGTTTTTTATACCTCCAAAAAAAGTAGTATAAATCTCTGAAAATTCAAAATTTTTAATAAAATAGTTTTATATTTTTTTGAATTGCTTCTGCGTTAGTTACAATTTTTTTTTTCATTTCATATTCATTTTTATTCTATGATTGAAATAAACAAAACTGAAACAATAGTTTATCGACCACAAGTTTTGAAACAGTTATAACAAAACATTGACTCGTATTTGTTTTTCACAATTTTCCACGCATCAGCAGTAGTAGTCCTCGTTGTCGATTCCTATACCCATTGTCAAATTTACGATTCGGGTTTGTGTATTCAATTGAAGTGATTTTTTTTTGTACAATTTTTTTTTTTTCATAAACCGCAGTTCAAACTTCAAACGAATTTTTTGAGTAAAGTCCGTTAAATCTGCTTCTACTCGGTTATTCAATTAATCCTTAAAGAGTTATATATATTTTTAAAAATTGTATTCATATTTGAAAAATTAAAAAAAAAATATTCTAAAATTATTTCTTTTTTTTTACGCTAATAATAATAATTTTTAGTTTTTAATATTAAAACAATATTTCGAATACTTCTTTTTATCAGAATAATTTGAATTTTAAATGAAAAATAAAGAAAAGAATTTGTGAAATATTTGCTCAAGTGAGCACAGTATATATTTTATTATTATATAGTCATATGAATTAATGATGCAACAATTGTTAAACTAGACTCAGACTTATATTATTGTTTCCATATAATTGCGTGTATTATACATCATTACGAATATATATCATTTTGATTACAATTAATTAACTATTATAAAATAAAGAAACCATTTTTTATGTTACATGAAGTAATAAATAAATTAAACTATAATCTCTTAAATAATATTTACAAAATTCGAAAACGTTGTCTGAATGTTTTTATTTAACTGGAAAAAGCTAAATAACCATTGAAGCCTTGAATTCTATAATAAAACACGATTTGATAAAAAAAAAATAACGTATCGACAAATAAAATAATTTTTTCCAAATTCCCTGGGGCTTAGTTTAATAAAATGCCCTCGAGTAATAGAAACAAACAAATGTGTGAATTTTTCAAAAATAAACAATATACATATAGAAAAATTAAAAAATAAAATTTTCTCAATAAACGAAAATATATGTACATTGATAAGATGAATTTTTAATTTTACTTCATTTTCCAGTAAATAAAAACAAACCTCATAAAATATTGTCAAGAGACTTACTTCATTTGATATTACTTGAAATTATAAATGGAAATAAAGTAACGAAATAAACATAATAATAAATAAATGATATTCTAATTATTTATAAAATTAAAGTCGTTTTGTAGTTTATTATAACAAGTGCTGTTTAAACTTTCTTAATACAAAACCTATTATCTAATAATATTGACGGAAATTGGTTTTCTTATATAAAGATATCAAGATATGTATAAATATATAGTTTAAAACAAATTTTCTTTTTTTATAAATTATTTTAATTTTTTTAAATAGGCCGTGTTTCTAATCATTCACTATCGGACGCAGAATCATTAGCACCACATTCAGCTTTTGCATTTTGTGAATATGACACTTTACTATAGTCATATGTATGAGGATTGTGTTTTCGTCGGAACCAAAAAACACATAGATAAATTCCAGCGGCAGTTATTGTTGATAAATTAATAATAAAAAATATTGTCATCCAATAAAACCATCTTGTCGCTTGCATTTTCCATGATATTGAACTAAGAACACAATGAAATTCAATTAAACTAGCATCAGCACGACATGTTGTACATTGATTTCCAGATGGTCCTGAACATCTTGCACAAGAATAATGACAAGCAGCACAAACTGAATATCTTTCATCTGAAGCACCATAAGTACCGGCTGGACAATAAAGTACACAACGTCCCTTAGTTAAAAACCAATTTTCCTTACAAACAATACATTCATGTGATGAATTCATAATTTTACAATTTTCACTTGTTTGCTTTTCACTTGTTGGTCTTTGTGTTGAATGTTCTGATTGTGGATAACGATCAATTTTTTGATTTCCAATCCATGAATTGTCTACATTGCCAATGATGTTCTGTTTAACATCCGTTGATGATTCACTAGGTACTTCATATTCGGAGATGGCAATTTGTCCTGGTTTATCGTCAATCTCTACGGCAGTCTCTGTACCATAGAATATCAATTTCCATTCTTCAAGATGATCTAAATATCTTCCATCATTGTGAATTTCCAATGTCCAAATACCATGTGGTTTTTCCCCCCAAGTGTGAACAGACATAAATGGCCATTGATTGAAGCCAGCTTTAGACATATCATGAGGTCTTTTTGCAAGTAAAGTACTTCTTGTACCTTGTGGCGATGTTAAAAATATCTCAAGATTTCCTCTTTTTACAGCTGTCAGAGTCACTTTAGCTTGTACATGCTCCAAAAAATTTACTCCTCTACATTCTTTGACATTCAATTCGAAACTTAATGTTTTTTTAGCCGGTATCTCTTGTCCTACTTGCGGTGCTATTACCTCACAGGTATGTTGTTCGGGTACTGTTCTCCATTTCCTAGCTAGACGCACCATTGCCGAGGCATCCATTAAACCATAACCAAAACTATGACTCACATTACGTCCAATACCATTTGTCACCCAATCCGTTGCATTTAAATTCGCAGGTTTTGCCGTTCGTACAACAATATGCTGCATATCTCTCCATGTTAAATTTCGGTTTGCTTCCAAAACAAGAGCACAAATACCAGCAGCCAATGGTGCTGATGCCGATGTTCCAGTATGACTACTTGTACAATAATGATGCAAATCAGTGGTTATAATTTGTTTTTCAGTTTGTGATCCAGAACTATAAGTTGTCGCCAATGTTGATGAACATTTTTCACTGTACCATGGTACAAAACCATTTTCAGTTGCACTACTTATGGAAAGTGTCCAAATACTATTTGTATAACCATCACAATTACAATTGTCACCATCCTTACCACCATTTCCCGATGCCCAAATAAAAATCGAACCCTTACCATCACGACCCTTTGTTATTCCTTCAATAAATGCTCTTGTTGCTAATTCACCTGGTCCATCAACTGTTTTACCATCATCATCTGGACCCCACGAAGCACTATAAATATCAATATGCTGCGGATTTAAACTTAAAGAACGAGCTTCAACAGCATCCGTCACATCTCCATCGAGCATACGAACACCACCAACCTGCGCACGAAATGCTATTCCAACAGCACAAATTGAATTATTTGCCGTTGCAGCAACTTCACCAGCACATCTTGTTCCATGTCGATTACTATCGCTAAAATCATAACGTGGCATTGGATCCTCATCGTGATTGTTTACATCATAACTAGCTTGCGGATCATAATTATCCTTTAAATCCGGATGATCTTTCTCCAAACCATCATCCAATATTGTTACCACAATACCACGTCCAGTTATTCCCTCAGCCCATGCGTCTTGTACATTCATATCCAATCCCTTTCCACGATTTAAATACCACATTAATGACCATCGTTCATCATTTAAAATAGTTTGCTTTTGATTAGTTGTTATAAAATCTCTTTTTTTTCGTGATTTTATTCTTTGTTGTTCAGCTCTTTTAACACGATTATCATCAATTAATTTTTGATGAATTTCCCTATGTGGCTCAATTGATCTTTTCACCACTAATGGATGATCAAAATGATACCAATCATCAAAAATTTGTCCTAAATTTCGAAATCCATATTCATCGGCAACTTGTTTGGCTACATTTGGACCACCCACAATATGCATAGCCCATTGATTAGAATATGCAACGACAAAAATATCACCAATTGAAAAGAGAACGCTTAAAATGAAAATCCACTTTGTGCACATCATTATTTCACAGCCTCGACAAATAAATGAGGCATCACTGTCACATATAAAGAAAAAAAAATACTAATTTATGTACAAAGATACGAAAATTATTAACTGAATATCGACAATATATTCTTGTTATACATTCATCACTTTTTTTTTTTTTTTTTTAATTAAAAACCCCTACTGATATCCTCTTAATCAAGTATAAACACACACACACACATATTTATATACATATATACTTGATCTACTTTATACACGTCGTCGGATATTTCGAACATACATGCCAATGTTCTCTTCAGCTGTGCAATCAAGCAATTATGAAAGAATTAAAATAGAAGGGGAATCACTACTTTCCTGTATATTTCAATTACGTAATGCATTTACGTAGAACAAACTCATATAGGAAAATTCTTAATAAAAAAAAAAACAAGTTGCTTCGTTTGCAAGTCAACAAAATTTTAAAATACATTTAATTTCCAATCGCTTATTTCTATATTAATCGTTGTAAATTCATAAACATAATTAAAATCTTTTAAAAAATGAAAACAAAAACGAAACAAAAGGGGGAAGTACTATTTTCTCAAAATTCTTTCACTATACAATCTGTAACAAATTATTATTTGCCGCTCTAGACTTTAAAATCTTATTAATTTACATTATCGAACTTTTCATTGATCACAATATCATAATTCTTATTGTCTCTTACTTTATTCTTTTTTTTTCTCTCTCTTTTTTTATTTTCTTCCACTCTTATTGTCACTGTGATTATTTGTACTGAATTTCCTATAGATTCTTTTTGCCAAGTCGTCGTGATTAGTCATCTTGGAAAATTTATCCTCTAACGTTGAGCAATGTTCCATTTGTGAAATTAGTGATTGTCCAAACAATATTGCTGCGATAATAATGTGTTTATTTTCATTATTGTTTATCATGTAAATTAAATTTTTTGTTTAATGTCGAAAATTGTCGGTACATGTAGCGCGAGTACTAATTTCTAATCAATAATTTTTTACTAAAAATTTAAAAAAATTTCTATTCCGTTAATAGATATCAGTAATTTTTAGCAATATTTTTAACTTAAGACATTGTCCAGAAATATTGAAGGAAAGATCTAAAATTTATGGCACGTTATAAGTAGAATTAGAGCTTAAATTTAAAACCAAAAATATTAAAAAATATTAAAGGGTTTCTAAGATATTAATAAAAATGTTCAAGCATCTTTCATTTCAAAATCATCACAAAAAGACGCTTGGACATTTTTAGTAATATCTCAGACACCCTTTATTTTTTTTTTTTTAACTTTTTTGGTCTCAAATTAAAGCTCTAATTCTACTGAAAAAGTGCGATAAATTTTAAATTTTTCCTTCAATATTTCTGTACAATATCTTAACTTAAGAATATAACATAAAAATTCAGTTAATTAATTACTTTTACAAACTTATAATAATCTTTTTAAAGAGTTAAAACACACATTCATTAATATGTCTTTAGATGTGAAATTTACAATGATTATCGTTTAAGCTCTATATCTTATCTTTTAATTTATTTATCATGATTCAAAGACATGTTGTTGTTTTTTTAGCCGACAATTTCCGGATGTGATGTACAAAAATATGATACTTAAATTATATGTTGTAAAACAATATTAAAAAATTGTTTAGTTACCTATTTGTATGATGAGCAACAAAAAAAAAAAAGAATTTTTGTCACAATTTTTTATGGATCATTGGATGAGAAATGTTGATTGCCAAATTTAGAATGTAGAGAATCTGCAAAAATAAAAAAAAAAATAAGAGAAATTTTTTTTTAGATTTGTTGCAAAATATTGTACAAAACTTATTTAATTTTGAGCCAACTATTAGTTTAAGACAACTAACGACATCTACAAATGGTGCCTACAATTATAGAAAGGAATAATTTTTTTTCAATTCTAGTGGCGCTGCATGTCATGGACCAACAGTAATTTAAGTTTTTTCATTTTATATATAAATTTTTCAAATATTGCTATGCCATTTTGCGAATATAAAATGAGAAAAATTATCTAAAAAGACTGGAGAATATCGATTACAAAAAAAAAGATATTAATCTTAAAAACGACGTGTATTAATAAATGAAAATATGAGGATCATTACGGCACCCCTATTTTTTTTTTTTGCACCCTAGGGGAAACGCCCAACTTGCATCCCCTAAAATTCTGTAATCAATTGACTATCTTCCTTTCTTTCCTTACATTGCATTTCGCTACACAAAAAGAAAAAATATTCTAAATATCAACTTCTTTGTCCCATTGTTTAAGATCAAAATTGTATTTTTTTTTTGAAACATTTTTAAAATAAACATGAATTATAATTTTAAATCAAAATCAAAACTAAGTTCTCAAAAAATTTGTTTTAACTTTTAAAATATTTTAAAATCAGAATTAAAAAAAAAATTTCAATCAAATAGATTTTTAGCAAAATGGGACACGTGTTTTTTATTAATCAGAAAAAAAATTAAATCAATAACAAAATGCGTGTTATTTTTAAGGTTGGCGATATTCGTCGATTCAATATTTACTCAGGTGCAAAGTACCACAAAAGAAATTCGTTCACATACGTCAATGAATTTATCGTGATACGTGTCAATGTTTTTCAATTAAAAAAAAAGAGTAGAAAAAAAATTTTAATTAATTATCGACATTTTATGATTTCTAAATTTTGAGTTTTAAATAAATTTAAGAAAATGAAAATTATGTTTTTTTTCTAATAAATAGAAAAAATACAATTTTTTTTCTTTGCTATTATTTTTTTTACGTCATCTCCTTTGTAAAGTAGGGGGGGTCCAGTTTGAGCGTCCTTCATGTTATTGCATGCTTCCCTTCAATTTATCGCAAGTTATTAAATTTTATTACAATACACATAAATTGACGTATATAATTTAAAAAAAAATTATATATATTTTTTTTTTCATAATAAAAAAATAAACAAAAAATTGTTTTATATTTTTACATATAAAAAAATGGAAAAAATAAGAAAAAAAAGATTAATTATTTCAAATATGACCTCACTTTCCCGCGTATCTAAATTACAGTGTAACATTATCACTTTAGTGTGTAATTCCATCACACCATGTTAAATATTTTATTAACATTGTTGTAAAATTTTTTTTAGAAATTTAAAAAAAGAATTATTTTTTTGTATTATAAACTTAAGGTTGTGTATAATAAGAATTACTGTTTTTTTTTTTTGAAAAAGAAATTCTGAATCATTTCTAAATCTGTCAAATCTTAATGTATAGTCAATACCTACTACCTTTGTGAAGTTTTAAAGAAAATAATAAGTTTTTGGTTTTATCCTCTTTTTTTAAAAAAAAATACACATATACACACACACATAACGCTGTATTGGTAGCACAATTATAAAAAAAAAAATTTTTTAAACTTTTTTTCACTAGTTTATTTACCGTTATTTGTTATAAATGATAATGCGTTGCCTTGGTATATAGTCACACGGTGGCTATCCGTGGACACGACGCCGAGACGATGAGACTAAAGCCACGAGATTGTGTTTAACCTATACATATCTGTATATATATATATATATACATACTATTCTGTTGTCAGAATCTTTTGTCGGGAAGTACGTACAGAGAGAAAGAGCTACAACGACTTCACGAGGAATGGCGCTAGTGAGTCACAAGAAAAAAAAAATTGGTAACAAGAATAAAAAATTGTATTTTTTATTTTTTAAAAAAACAAAACTCTTGGGATTATAAAACAGAAAAATTAATTTCATGGAATAAAGAAAATACTGAAAATAGTTAAATTTATATTATGTATAAATATTTTATATTTATATATTATATTACTAAACTTAGAAAGCAATATTGGCAACATTGTAACAATATTTGCAAAAATGACAACATTGAGCCAATGTTATTGACAACATTGCCTTAATGTTGCCTCTATTTTCTTTACAATAATGTTTCTTGCTGCAAATTCAGGTTGTAACCAGTAACTCATGGTCGATAAAGAAGAGAGGGACAATATCGCTTATGATAATAAAATATCCACTAAAAAAAGTATCACTTACACAAAAAAAATATCACTTTTACAAAAAAAAGCAAAAATTTACATTTACACGAAGTAAATCCCATGAATTTGTCATTCTACATGTTATCTCTCTTTTGTGCTTCGTTGGACTTATCCATTTAATTAAACATTTTATATCTTTCCTAGCAGAAAAGAGATATTTCTAACACCAAAAATAAACGAAAGATTTTAATTTAAACTTTTAATTACTTAATTATTATTAACAGTTAATAAACATTTAACCAAAAAAAGTATTCAAAAATGCAAATGTTTGCGGATATCATTTGTGATGGTGTGTATTTGGATCAAAATGAAAAAAAAAAAAGAAATATAATCCAACATTTTATACATAAAGGATACTATATTATCCTATAGAGATTCTCAGACAACCATTTATATAGCTTATAGGTCCGAAATGCAGGTTGGTTGCTGAAAGGAAAGTCAACCAATAATCCTCTGTGACTTATGACTCTCCATTATGGACATGGTAGAATTCTGTCTCCCAGTTTCGTGATATACGATCCAATAGCAAAAGAGGAGCTCTTTGCATTTTTTTTTTTTCACTTGCTGCCTTTTTTGACATTCTATCAACGGTCTTTCATTACTCCTTATATATGTTACAATTTTCAAAAAAAAAAAGTATCATACCAATAATTATTGATCTGATTACAGATTGAGGGACAAGTGAAATAATAGATTAAAAATTTTCCTTTGAAATAAAATTAGCGATGATAAAATGAAAGGGAATGAATCTCAATATATTATATTATTCCATAATACTATGGAGCTTGTTATTATATAATTCTATTATAATACTGTAATCAGAAGAGAGGACAAATGTTTATGACTGAAATTCAAAATGGCAATAGAATTCAATATTCCAGAGACCGCATATGACAATTCATTTTCCTGCAATTAGATCTATTATATTAGTTAACGGTAAATATGAACAGCAAATACGTAATTTTAATTATCGCACAGCCTAATAGCAAATGAAAATTCATTCGTTCTCGAATTATTTCATTTTATTTCTATTTTTCAGTAACAATTTCAATTTTCCTTTTTAACGTTAACCTAAATTTTGAGGTTATGTTCATGATAACGTACTTCTGTTACCGATGTGAAGTTGGCAGCACCATAACGATCCTACTTAGAATTTGTGACCGTACCCTAAGAAAAATTAATTGTGCTGCTAACTTCACATTGATGCTGCTTCTTCTTCCATATTGGCATTGAGTATATGTAAAATTAATATTGAAGAACACTTCTCGCAATTAAGATTTTTTAATCTCCCAGATGGAGCTGCAAAATTGTAAACTTTGAATTATTTTTATTCAAAACAAATTTAAAATTTAAAAATTCTAAATCCCTTTTCGAAAAAATTTTTCTTTATGAATTTTAATATTGGCACTTTATTATTTTAAAATTTTATATAAAAAAAAAAAGAAAAGAAAAATAATTTAATCCAAGTTGATATTATACAGTGAAATAATGCATATATAAAAATGCAAATTGGTCTTGTTTCATTTTGAGCGCTTCAGAAAATCCTTTTATCCTGTTTTATATACATATAGTTTCTATTTCGTTGATTACTCGACAAATTAAACTTCGTTACTAATTAAAACCCAGTGGGGCAAATTTATAAGTTTCTTCGGGACATTAGCATCGACCAGAGAAAATAAACCCACGTCGATGAATATTAAACCTCCTGAGAAATACATTTATATATTCCACCGACTATATTGCCTCTGATTTCTTTCACCAATTTTATTCACTGTCTCGCAGAATACATATTGCATTGATAATTGCCTTAATAATTAATTCAAGAAATTTCCTTCATTATTATCATTCATATATACTAATTGAGTCATATTCTGCAAATTGAATAAATATATATATATAAAATATGAATAGCCCCTAATGAGAGGACGTCATTTTCATTACTGTTATTTATGATAAACAATTTCACATATATGCATAATACTAATAATTAAAATAAATTGACAAATTATTAATATTTTCAAAAAATTTTGCAAAATTAACAATAGTCCTTTGTTTTCATTGAATTTAAATTTTTAAGTATAGAAAAATGATGCAAAAAGAAAAAAAATGTTTTCGATCAGTCTTTGAATGGAATGCGATGATATTCGTTTAGGAGAGTGTGAAATTGGCACTATATACGGTAAATTAATGAGAGTATCAATCAATGTCAAAAGCAGCAGACGAGTTTGGTCCTTCTGTGTCCTAAAGGTTTTGTTCCAAGGCGCCGTATGCTCGCGAGTAATTAGGAATAATTCCCATTGCCCATATATATATTGTTTTGTTATATATAAATCTCAAATACTTTTTTTTTATTCAAATCAATCATTTGAATCGAACACTTATTGATTTTTTTTTACTTCTTCTTTCTTCAGCGTCATCATTTTTTGTTTTTCTTTTTATTTGCCATGTAAAAATATTCATATTTTCTATATATTTATAAAAAATTAGTAATTTTATTATTGTCAAAAAATTGTTAATAAAATTAAATATAAAAATGTAATAGCAAAATTGTTTTTTTTTTTGGAAAAAAATTGTTTTTTTTTCAAATTATTTGAACAGTGCTGCCTCTTACGATATGTAGTACGAAACATTGGTAACTTTTTTCACAACTGAGTCGGTAAAATATTTTTCCTCTTTTCTAATTACAATCTTTTTTCAAAAAAATTTTCAATTCATTCGCAATACATTTTTATAATTAATTCTATTTTTTATGTGTAATATTTATTATTTTGAACTTTGTTTATTATTTTACATTAAAATATTTAGAAATATTAATACCTGTCAATAAATATTTTTTCAAACAAAATTTTTCAATTTTTTTTTTTTTAAATTAACTTTCCGACGTTTTTGATCCTTCGCCTATATGTATATTAAAATAAATGAAATTATAATCAAATAGAATTATGAAAAGACAATTTTTTTTTTTTTTTTTTGTCAAACCTTGGCCAATTTGAATAATTTTGTCTTGATCAATAACCTCGGACAATTTGAATATTTCGTTATCGTGAGAAATTTCTATTAATTGATGTGTTACTGGTAGACGAATAAAAATGAAGAAAATGACATTTGCCATTAAATAAAATACGGCAAGACTGGCAAAGTGTAAAAAATTCATAATTTTTTGTCTAATTTTAAACTTGAATAATTTATTTAAAAAGTAGCCATTATAATAAATAAAGCTTTTTTTTATTTATTTACATTTTTTTTTTCAATTATGAAGTTGTCTACTTTATAATTCGGATCTTTTTTCTTTTTTTTTCAATTAAAAATTATTAAAAATTTGAAAATAATAAATTTTTTATTTAAAAAATACAATTATTAAATAATTTCTAATTCATTAATTTTCTTATATAATTCAATTAAATTTTTAACTGACTGTTGAAGTGGTTTTTTGGTGATGTGAAATAAAATATTTCCCACGGTGTACTGGAAATAAAAGGGTATAAATATTTAAAAAAATTAATTATTTATTTAAATATATATTTAATATTATCATTCTGTTATGAAAATATTTTTTAAAAAAATTGTTAATTTATGTTTTGATATATTTTACTAAAATGAATGATTGGAAAATAAATTTCTTTTCTAATATATAATTGCTGAAGAAAAAAGGAAAAGATTATAAAATTATAAACGATGGCGCAAGTATAAAATGACGTGTGGCACGCGACAAAAGATTCGTTCACAAAACAGATATCAGAAGACAGCTGTCCTTATAAAGCTTGCATTGAATTTTAACGGGACAAGGGATCTTTGTCGGGGTCATTGGAGCTAGAAAAAAGTTACAGTAATCAATGAATTTGACAATTCTTCAGTTGGCTTAGGAGGGAAAAAGGTAAGACGAGAGAAAGAAAAAAAAGAAGGCAAAGAAAAAGACAATGCTTCTTTCTTTTAAGAATAAGAGTTTAAAAGAAAAGAAGAGTTGATATTTAACTTTTCATTACAAAAATGTCACGTGAGATTAATTTTCACTTCACTTTCACTATAATTTCACTTCATTTTCTCTTCATTTTCACTTCATTTTTACTATACTTTCACTAGAACTGGAAGTGAAAGAATCAGTGAAGTGAAGGTGAAGTGAAGGTGAAGTGAAGGTGAAGTGAAGGTGAAGTGAAGGTGAAGTGAAGGTGAAGTGAAGGTATAGAATAGCACTCCAGGTGATTAATAAATAAAAATTAATTATGTTTCTTTTTTAAATTTTAAGGTTAATTAATTATACAAAATATACAATTAACTATATGTGAAAAAATTTTTTTTATAAATGTTTAATAAATATTTTATAAATACTAAAAAAAAAAAGTTTTTTAAAAAAATTCTTTGTCCTCTGAATGATTTGCATTGAAGTGATATTTTCCCGCCAAAAAAAATGAACCAGGTGAGACTTGTCTGAAGACCCAAATCATCTTGGGGTATTACGCAAGAAGGATTTTCCATGGGGCTTGCGAACATCTTTTGTTAAATCAGCGAAGGGCACGTGCGACTATAAGAATGGATTCTGATCCTCCTTTTCTGGTATAAGCTCAGAGTTGTAAAGATCTGAAAGTTGTGAGAGGGGTCCCCAGAGTTAAGGGAAATAGTTGAGATAATAGGATATACTTCTTCTACTTCTACGTCTACCCCTCAGAAAAAGACTGTTGAGAAGGAGGGGGGGGGGGTGAATAGGACTTTCCCAGTCTTCGCGAATTGCAAGTAAAAGATCGTGAAGCAAATATCTATCTCCTCTCACGAGGGAGTAGTAACTCAGAATGCTCATCTAGTGATCTGTCTTGGTTCAATGAACCTGAATTTCAGCTGCTCTAATAATTTCTCACCTTTTTTTTCAATTTTCGAAAAATTTTAAATAACTTTTTTTTTTAATAAACTTTTAAAAAATACTCACTTGAAATAGAGCAGTGGTTTTATTACAAAAGATACTTGTTTCAAAAATAAGATGATTTTCTTCTTTCTTCAAACGAATCTCTATTCGATATTTAAGAAAATTATCTGTCGATTCAATTGCAAAATACTTTGGTGGTTTATAATTTGTCACTGTAAAAAAAATTCTCTTTTCACCTAAACAATGTAAAAATAAATTATTATTTTAAAAAATGCTAGTTGCACTTCAAAATGAACCAAAATTCGAACCTAAAATTGGTATTCTTATCAAAGCAGTGAAAAATTTTCCAGGCGATAAAATTCTGGCATCTGCCTCGTTCATTCTCCATAACCAAGGACACAACTGAAATAATATATAATTATAATTAGAATTTGTTTTTCCATTGCATTACTTTTTGATAATCTTTTGTAATTTTTTGATTTTATATAAATGAACATTATAAAATAGGATAACATTAGTATATTATTTCCATTTCTCAATTTGCATTCACTTGTTTATGAATGAAGAATCTTATATACCATTATTTCATTTGGTAAATAAGATATACGATATCGCTTTCTTTATTTCTTTGACAATAAACGTAAAGTTGTTTACAAATATCTTCAGTTTGCATTATACATTTATTGAGAATGGAATATATATTCACATTAATTGTTCTATTATTATTTTTATTATTTTTTATTTCATTATATATTTTTCTAACATGGAATTTGAATTTTTGGCGAAAACAAAAAATACCAACAGCCACAGGACAAATACCACTATTTGGACATATGTGGTCGGTTTTTTTATTGAAACAAAGTTTTCCAAGTCTCTGTGAGAATTTATATAAAACACATATGAATTCAAGTATTGTTGGATTTTTTCAATTTCAAACACCATCATTAATTGTACGTGAACCAGAACTTGTGAAAGATATTCTTGTTGGTAATTTTGCAAATTTTCATGATAATTTAATTAAACTTGATGAAAAATTAGATCCATCAATGTGTGAATCACCATTTTTTGCTAAAGGCAATGTTTGGAAACGTAAACGAACAATTATGACAAATGGTTTTTCAAATCGAAAATTAAAATTACTTTTTACATTAGCTAAACAAGTGGCATATAAACTTAATGTTTATTTGAATAATATGCTCGGCGAAAAGAATTTTGTGGAAATTGAATTATTACATTTTTGGACAAAATATACTGGTGAATTTGTGACAAATGTTGGTTTTGGTGTTGAGGGTCATTGTTTTGATGATAATTTAATAAATTTTCAAAACACCGTTGAATCAATGTTTGATTTTTCCAAATTTGGCAGAGAACGTGAAATGATTCTTTTCTTTATGCCTCGATTGGCGAGAATTTTAGGAATTTCACGTGTACCAAAAAAAGTGGAGGATTTCCTACAAAAACTTGTGGAAGGTAAAATTTTATTTTTGCAAAAATTTATTGATATAAAAATTTTTGATTTATATTTTCAGATGTGATTAAAAGCAGAGAACATGAGAATATAATTCGCAATGATTTCCTACAAATGATGATAGACTATCAAAAAAGTCATAATCCGAATAATTTAGATGAGAAATCCTTGTTGGTGATAATGGAAAGTTTCTTTCTTGATGCCTATGAATCAGCAAGTATTGCATTGAGTTTTATTTGCTTTCAATTGGCAAATCATCCTGAAATTCAAGAGAAAGTTCGTCAAGAAGTTAATACAATTGTTAGAAAGTACAATGGACAATTAGATTATGATGCTCTTAAGGAATTAATTTACATGGAACAAGTATTTTATGAAACATTTAGAATTGATCCAGTTATACCGGTATTCACGAAAATTTGTACCAAACGTTGTCAATTACGTGGAAGTGATGGTCTCGTTTGTCAAGTTGAAACCGGAAATATTGCAGTAATTTCTTCATATGGATTAAATACAGATCCAAAATATTGGCAAAATCCGGAAAAATTTGATCCCGAACGTTTTAATGTGGAACAAATATCAGAACGTTCAAAATATATATTTTTGCCATTTGGTGAAGGACCGAGAATTTGTGTTGGTAGAAAAATGGCAATGATTGAATTGAAAGTAGCAATGGTTCAAATTTTAATGAATTATTCTTTACAATTATCGAAAAAAAATATTCTTCCCATTAAAAGAGACACTAGTTTTAGTACCTATCCCAAAAGTGGTTTGTGGATTAAAGTGAAATTATTATGACATTAAATACATTTATTTTTTTACCAATTAAAAGTATTCTAAATAATCGAATATTTTTAAAAAATTATTTTCTTTAGAAAAAAATAATTCATGGTGGCAGCGGTGGGATTTTTTTTTCTAACAATGCATTGTAATATTAAAAAATCTCCTTTTCTTGAAAATCAAAATTTGTATTTTTAAAATATAATAAATGTCATCAACTTTTGTCGCTTTGTTTATTAACTGAAATGAGTGTAAAACAATTTTAAAAGTTGCAATTTGATTATTGAATCTTCATATCTATTTTTAAATATAAATAAGAAAAGATAAAAACTGATTTACAATATTAAGGAAAGTAGTCTGACTATAATTGCCTTTGATAATTCAATCCAAATAAAGTTCAATGTTTTTTAAATGATAACGTAATCAGAGATTGTTAAAAGCAACAAGCATATTTTTTTAGTGTTCATTCGAACTTTCAGCAAAGTATATAAATATATAATATGGCAATAATTTACATTCTCCTCTGTTTAACGGTTTTTTTAATTTATTTATATTTTCATTTAATATGGATATATGACTATTGGAGAATAAAGAAAATACCATGTGTCCCGGGAATAATTCCAGGATTGGGTCACATGTGGTCTGTATTGACATTGAGAGAAAGTTTTCCTACATTATGCGAGAGAATCTATCAGAGCTATCATAATTACAGTATGATTGGATTTTATCAATTTAAAACACCGACATTACTTCTTCGCGATCCTGAACTCGCAAAATCTGTACTTGTCACTAATTTTTCTAGTTTTGGTGAAAATCAAATTTTACTTGATTCTAATTTAGATCCATCAATGAGTCAAAATCCATTTTTTGCGACTAAGGAGAATTGGAAGAAAGTACGATCAGTTTTGACAACAGGATTTTCAAGTAGTAAATTAAAATGTCTATTTTTGTCAACACGTGAAGTTTCTTATAAATTGAAAAATTATTTACAAACTATTTTTGTTGATGATAAAAATAGGGATGTTGAATTAGTGGAATTTTGGAATAGATACACGGGAGAATTTGTTGCACATGTTGGTTTTGGAATGGAGGGACATTGTTTTGATAGTGATGATAATTTTGAAAGTGTAATATCAAATATGTTTGGTTCTTCAATTTTATCAAGAACTAAAGAAATGTTATCATTCTACTCGCCGAGTTTGGCGAAATTATTGAGAATTCGCCGTGTACCAAAACATTTGGAATTATTTTTCCGTAATAGCATAAATGGTATTGAATTTTAATATTTTTTTTTTTTATTATCATCAAAAAAAAATTTTATTTCTATTTCTATATAATATTTCTTTCAGATGTCATAAAGGCGAGAGAAACCACCAACGAGTACTACAACGACTTTTTGCAAATGATGATAGATTATCAAAAAACCCACAGCAATAAATCATTAGACGAAAAAAATTTATTGATCTACATGGAGAGCTTTTTATTAGATGCTTACGAGTCAGCAAGTATTAGTTTGAGTTATATGTGTCTTCAATTAGCCGTTTATCCTGAAATTCAAGAAAAAGTGCGTCAGGAAATACGAAAAGCTCTTGAAAAATTTAACGGTGAATTATGTTACGAAGTCCTTGGGGAATTGAATTACTTGGAAAAGGTTTTGTACGAGTCGATAAGAATAAACGCTACAATACCATTGTTGTCGAAAGCTTGTACAAAAGAATGTGAACTTATTGGAAAAGATGGATTGTCTTGTAAAATTAATCCCGGTGTTATAACATTGATATCACTTTATGGATTACATATGGATTCCAAATATTGGACAAATCCAGAAAAATTTGATCCCGAACGATTTAATGAGAATGAAAAAGAGAAGAGATCAAAATTTGTATTTTTACCATTTGGTGAAGGTCCACGAATGTGTGTTGGAAGGAGAATGGCAATGATTGAAATAAAATTAGCATTGATTCAATTATTGATTAATTGTAATTTGGAAATTTCGTCAAAAACTGAACTTCCGATAAAACGAGACTTGCATTTTTCGACTACTCCTAAATGTGGACTTTGGGTTCGTTTAAAATCTCTACCCTGATTATAATTATATTCCTATTATTGCAATTGTTATACTAATTTTATTAATTACTATCAGGGAATGTAAATTATATATTCAAAGTGATTTTTACCTTTTCTAAAATGTGAACGTGACGGAAAAAATTAAAAAATTGTTTCACTTCAGCATTTGCCTCTATTTTTTGACTGACAATAAATTTTCGTGGATCAACTTCAATTCTTTGTAGAAAATATACCAGATAATAGATCAAAACAAAAGATATTATCAGGGCTCTTATTAACATTTATCCTACAACAATTAATTGTTTAATAAAAATCGGAAGTTATAATATATTTTTATAATTTATAATTATATTAATTATTTAATATAGTTCTACTATATTCTAAAGTTGTAAATAATGTGTTATGTTACGATAACGATTATGGTAAATGTATATTACCGATGATACAACGAAATTACAATATTACAAACAATCTCTCCATCACCCTGGGGAAATAAAGTGAGGCAAACCACGTTTCTTCGATCAGCTCTCGTGTTTGAACAAAACTAAATCTCAACATCAGTATTCTCTAGACCGTGAACCAATAAAAACAATTCACCAGAACTAATGTGATCCTACGAATGTGGATTACAAATTCTTAATAACATCCTTTTTGAACATCCAAACATTTATAGCGTTAATTTTCATTACAACAATATAGAATTAAATTTTCCCGTGAATATAATAAATAAAAACCAAGTTTACCCGTTTAGAGGCACGAGAATTGGAATACTGCGGAGAATCGATACATTTGAATCCATAAAAGTGTTCATTGAGTAAATTACAGTATTAACGTTATTAGCGAAAATAATACAGTTTGTAAATTTAAAAAAAATAAGTTTCGTTTAAATTCTTGATATTTATACCAGTAGCAAAAAAAAAGTTATTTTTGGAAAATATTTAATTCCCTTAATAGAAGTTAATGGGTGGTTGTTATAACGATAAAACGTGTGCAACATTATGGGGGTGGTTATGAAGCGAATCCGCGATAGGGGCATGAGAAATATACGGAAGTAACAGTTTACCGCGATTGGTCATTGGAGCGGTCACGAGGGCAGCATATGTTTTGCATGGGGGTTCATTTTGTCCTCATTAGCATCTGTTGGTCACGTGTCGAATCATTGCAACCTTTTATAGACCCCCCCTGGGTTTGTCGATCTGGGAAATGATTTTTCCACTCTTAATATTTAAAAGTCACCCCCCTGCGGGTATCTTTACACATCCCTTAAATATATATACGTGTGAACACACATTTTTATACACTTAAATACACGACAGCCCCTATGTAAGCCTATATATATATATATATGTTTAATAAGGTAATTATAATTTTAAATACTTTTCTTAGAGACCGATAACATTTACTGATTTTAATATTTAAAAGAGTTTTTTAATAGCAATGTTGGATATTAATTAATAAATAATTGCAAAAAAATGTATAGGGAGACTTATCAAAAGGGTCAAATATATCTGAAAACCTAATTATTGTTTTTGTATTATTCATCATTAATATTAAACAAACCTTTCTTATGAAAATCGTTTCACTTTTTCTTATATCATCTTTCGTTTTAATAACAAAGTGACCGAAATTACGTTTTCGTTGATATTTATTATTCATCATTAATATAAAACAAACCTTTTTTGAAAGCAGCTTCACTTTTTTATCCAATCGTGCCCAAAGTCATCTGAAACAAAAAGATATATTTTTAGTTACTAGCTTTAATTTCAGTACATAAATAATTATTTTGTATATACTAATAAAGGGGTACTACAGTTATTTTTATACCCCTTTCCTTTTGATTATGTCAAATCTCTGACGTAATATTCATAAATCTACGTATAATCGAAAGTAATGTCAGTCAACATCACCAGGGGAATTCCATGTCATGGGAAAACCCGGGTATAGAATCCAGAGAGGAAGCATAAACCGGATATGACTGTGTTATGTCATGAATAATGCAACAAATTTCAAATTCGCCTTTTGTATTCGTGTCATTTATATTCACAAACTGATAACATTCGAAGGAAGGATTTAAAAAAAATAATAATCCAAATTATATAACCGATTCATTTTTACCTTTGGGAGAACTTCACACTTCTTCATTTTACATGAAGCAAACAAAAAAATATTTTTTCTTTCACTTCAATTACTTAAAGTTTAGAAAAATTATTTCTTTGATAGTATATATAGAAAGATAGAAAAAATAATAAAGGGATATTTTTAGACAAAGAGGATGAATTGGGTCTTGGTACACTAATGGAAAAGGGTGGAATCAGAGCTCTCACCTGGCTTTAAACTTGGATCGAATTTAATGCGATCTGCCAAGTAAGGAGATCAAGTTAAAAACCGTTAATATATAATTTTATGTTTACTTCATTTTCATAACAAAATACTTTCTCATATAGTATGAGAATGTTAAATTATACAATTCTTCAAGAAAAATGTATACAATTTATTTTTTATTAAATTAAATCATAATCCACTGTTCTGAACCGTTATATTGTCAAAGTCAAATTAGACTCGCAGACACGTAAAGGTCCTTCGACAATATACCTAAGATCGGTCTCTAAGGCCACTTCCACATTGGATTGATCTGTTTACATTAATACTAAACTAACACGTCATTGACAAATATTTGCATAAGAAGACTATAGTATCCTGAATTATTTGATTTTAATAAAATTAATAAATGAAAATTTAATTTTTTAACCCTAAATTGAAAAACTACTTTTTAGAATACAATATAATAGGTGCATCAATCAAGAAACATTGTTACAGATTGTGCGCCCCGGCAGAAAATTTTTTTCCTAAAGTTAGAAAATAGGGTATATATATATGTATTTTGAAAAAAAATAATAAAAGAAATCCTAGAAAAATAGGGTTAGTGACGATGAAAATGATAGATAGAATTTCAGGTTACGAGGCGGTTAGCTCATTCTTTAAGCAGGGTAAACCTCACCCTTTGTTATGTGCTGCTATTTAAAGGATGGGGAGGGGGAGAGAGAGCGAGGAGTGGCAGGTACCTGACATCCCGATGGAGAATTATTATGGTGCTCTCAGGGGTGATGAGGGGAGGAAACAAGGCAAATGAAACAGACAAAGAGGGTCGATGCACTTGTTCGTCGGAACACTAATTTCCTATGCTTTCAGAGGTTCTCATGAATTAAGATAAAAAAAAGTGTTCTTATTTTAACAAAATAATCATGAGTTTATAGAAATCAAATTCTAGTGAAAGTTAAAAAATTTTATTTATTCAAAAAATCCCGATAAAAATCAAAATTTTGTCATTTGCATAATAAATTAATTTCACTGAAAATTGTTTTTTTTCGTGGGAAAAGGGAAAAAAGACTATGTAAGGGAGAGGGATGTAATAGTTTTTTAAAAATATTTTTTGTATATTTTTTTTTCTTTTAAATAAATGATTTATGGAGAATGAGAATTTTTTTGTCACCCCAACAGGTTTATAAAAAAAGAGTTTGAGAACCATTATTATTTGTAACGTTAAATATATCATAAAAGTAGGATAGCCCTCCAAGATTTTAAACTTCCTTTTCCTTTTTTTTACCTTTCTTGTGATGCCCACATGCAATTAAAGAGAAAAATACACAGCACAGTTTACCGGAGGGAAAACAAATGCTTGTAATCTACTTTTATGTGGTTTCTGAACTATTTTTGTACACCTGCATATACATACGATGTTCAGTATAATTAATGTAGTTTTATTCTCTCTGTTCTCGTTGCTTAAATTTTTTCATACAACTTTTCCTTTCTAATGAATTGAAATTAAAAAAAAAATTATTAAATATTTTTTAAAAGCATTTTTTTAATGTGACCTAATTATTGTTTTGTATTATTCATTATTAATGTTAAACAAACTTTTCTTTTGAATATCGTTTCACTTTTTCTTATATCCACTTTCGTTTCAAGTGGACAAAATTAGTTTTTTGTTGATATTTATTATTCATCGTTAATATAAAACAAACCTTTATTGGAAGCAGCTTCACTTTTTTATTCTCCTTCGTGTCCAAAATCATCTGAAACAAAAAGATACTATTATTATTGTTTACCAATATTTTTTTCAGTAATAAATTTTAATAAATGCATGGAAAATAAATTGATTTTATTATTATTATTATTAAACGTGCACGAGAAATATAATAATTCATTGCTGAAATTCTTGTGAAAATTGTGAATGACTTTGACGTATTATTTTTGAGTACGCTAGAGTAAATTTATAACTAACTATTAATCATAAACATATATAAAGCAGTTGATGGAGCTTTATAAAGCATTAAATAACATGATATGACAACTTTGTAATAAATCTAATTGTAAATTTACAGTTAACAAACATAATTAACAGACATGTAACATTGACTAATTGCTTACTTTTCAGGAAAATTTAAACTAATTTTAACTGTATGTCGCTGGTTTGGTTGGTAATAATTTTCGAAATATGTAAAAAGTGGTTTTAATTGATATCTATAGGAATAATTTTTTTCGGAGTTAAATAATTTTTACTCTTTTCTTTTCCTTAATTAAAATTTCATTGGATTTAAAACATAAATAAAATAGACTTCTCGTTTTAAGGTTATAAAACGAGATAGTAACAGCGCCATCACCATGAACTAAAATAATAGCGCCAAAATTTAAAAAAAAATTATTCTGACTAATAATAATAAACAAGCATTTTTTGTAAAATAAACTTTTGTATAGTCTTCATACATAATACATGATTTGTGAAATTTTTGCACAATTTTGAACACAGGTAACGAGATTTTGTACGCCGGGTGTAAAAAACCAGCGCGTGAGAACGCGGGCAGATGCGTTTTCTACGTATGAAAATCTACGTAAGTCAAACGTGCGCAAGAGGGTGTGTGCAAGTTGAATAAAAGCAGAGTACAGGGCCAAGGGTCGAATCAAGGGTGAGGGCCGGTGCGGTGGGTCCCCAACTTAACGATCGTCGGACCCCTCCTTCACCTATAAGAAAATTGCATCACGAGTATAAGTATAAGTCGATGCCAAACAAAGAACGAAACATGAGCTCTTTCAGGGACTTTCTATGTATGTATATATATATATATTTGTACACCCCAAGTACGAATCTTTGCAAAAACATTTTTTTTACCTATATACTATACGAAATAAAAAATCATTGAAAACTCCTCGAAATGCTATTTTATTTTAAAGGAAGTTTCACAATGGGAACTTTTAGGTTATGTTGACACGTTGGTGAAATAGTACTTCGTGAGCAACAAGTATTTTTTGAAAACTTGAAAAGACAATTATTATTAATGTAAAATTTTTGAAATATTATCTAATACAATGTTAGCTTATATGTTTCCATAATTATTTGAAGAGGACAATATAAGAAAAAAAGTATATATATACAATTTTTCGGTTTGTTTATCAAAAACTAAATTGGGTATAAAAGATTTATGGAAAAATTAAGTTAAGAAATTATGATATCGTAAAAATGAAAAGGGGGTTTTGATTTTGGGATTTATAGAAAATGGGAACAGTTGCAGGTGGGATATAAAGCTTTTCATTCGATGCGTGGGAAACAGAGAGCTAGAAATTCCGACACGTTACGCTCTTCCCTTACTCTCCCTTTTCATCCCCCTTTTACCCTCAAAATAGAGTCAACCCGGAACTCTATAGTATACATTAAGTTTTGCATAAACACAGAGTAGTTTATACATGCTTAGAGTCTCTTTACTTAAGTACACATTACGTCTAAAATACGACAAAATTTTCACAAGGACATATATTATCTTATGATGTAAAATTCAGCTTCTAAGACCTATTTACAAACTATAGTTAATAATTTTAATAAAAAACTAATTTTTATAAAATAAATTTAGAAATTGCTTTTATTTTAATTATTTTCGCACACAATTCTTGGATTATATAAATAATTATCATTCGCTTTATTTTCAAACTCCACCCGCATGATGGTCCCTGAGCTCTAAGTTTCTATACTTATCCAGTCGTTATTTTGTTTTGAGTGATTCATACCAATTCATAGCCTATCAAAAAATCAATTAAGTACATTAAAACGCCACGTGACGCCATCATCACTAATTTTTATCGTAAATTATCTACCCTTATTTTTTTTTTGATGCATTTTTATAAATTGTGTAGAAAAAAAAATTTTCTATTCTTAAATTTGCAAACGGTTTCTATTTCTTAGTACAAATGTGCTTTAATCCTGTTTCAGCTGCGAAGTAAAACAGTTGCTGAGAAGCGAGAGAAAAAGGCCAAGCAAAACTACGTCTTTATGCAACTATATAGAACTGGTTTTGTTTGCCAATATGATGCAACCCTCGAAATCGAACGTTAAAACCATATATAGACGTGAATCTTCTTTTTGATGTAAAGTGAAATAAATTTTTATTTCAGTATATTTTCTTACTAGTGAGAAAATAAATTTTTTTTTTAGTTGACAAAAAAATTTGCCAAAGCTTTTTTTAAAGAAAGTTAAACGCATTTTAAAAAGAGACAAATTGGTGACAGCGGTGGGATTTCATTATTTTTATAAATACAAATAATTTTAATTTACTTTTTAATTAAATATTATCACACAAAAAAATGGCCATTATGCATCTCTTTTTAAAGTTTTCTATAACTCGTAAACAATCGTAAATTATTCTGTTTATAAATATTAAATTTTCAAAGTTTCTATTATATGGGATAGTAAATATACATACCTGTTAAGGAGAAGCATTAATTTTTACGATTATAAGAAAGTGTATTACACTCTCGTTTGAACTCAAAAGGTGAGATTTTTCATTTTTATCACCATTAAATGTCTTACCACAAGAACAGGACATTTTTATGAAGGGCAATAAAAGAAGAATACGCATATACATATATATATATAATATGCACCCTACTGTAAATCTTTTCTTTTGTGTGTTCTAAGATTTAAGCTAAGGCGTAACCGTACATCAAAACCGTTAGTATCAATGGTTCCTTAAAACTTCTATAAAGATGGGTGAAAAGAATTTGATTTTTATTAGTTAAACTCCACTAAAGATTCACTAAACCATTGGATGAAAATTTTTCCAAATTTCTGTTTTCCAGCAACAGGTGGATTGTATTTAAAATTTGTAATCTTTAGTAAAATTAAATTTTTTTAAAAAATTGTTTCTTTTTTTTCTAAATCATTTTGGTTTATTTACGTCAGCTGTCAAGATTCAGCAAAAGATTTTTCAAACCTTCTAAAGAAATGATATGACAGAATAATGCACTTTTGTTCTAACAAAGGATACAATTCTTGAGCCATATAGGGTCACTATATATATATATTCCCGGATGCTTTTCTGTAAATACATGCGTATATTCCAGCAGCCCTTGGATTTTTCCAAAGCACCTTTCAAATCCTCTGACAATGTACAAGGATTTCAAGTGTCAACGATTTCAGGGGTGAAAAATTCCAAAAGTAGAGCAGATTTTTGCCAATGAAATGTCACAAATAGTGGAGATAAATTGCAAAACGTTTATTAACGGTTTTCAATAGAATTTCTTTTTTATAACTACTTTCAAATATGTTTTTCATATTTATATGAAAAATTTTATAATTTTTTTTTTTTTTTGACAAGGAAAATTAGTTACAAAATTTTATTAAAGTAATGAAAAATAAAACGAATGGAATATTTCTTTTTTGATCATGCAAGCAAATAAAAATTAAAAAAAGGGGAAATAAAGTGGAACTAACGGTAAGAATGAAACTGGTCCCTTCGATGCAGATTTCAAGGACGAGATGATTCGGTTAGTGAGCACGTGTCTTGAGATGGGTGACGTAAACACAAAGATTGCATGAGGTTTCAAATATATCTATATATATCAACACGGGAACAAACAAAAAATGGTCCATGAGAAATGCTTAACGGCTGCTGGAGTGAGTCTTGCGAAACAGGATCTGACCACTGAAGGGTATGGAGAATATATTCCAAATAGAATAATAAAACAAAACAAAAAAAAGCAATAGGCCCCACGGCATGTTTCTACGTCGTTAAAATGGAAATTTTCGCAGCAGTTTTGTTATTATATTGAGAACCAGAATTTCAATTTTATTAAAGAACGTTAAAATTAAACATCTATTTGATATTATTCAACAATCTTTAATTATTCAATTTTTAAGTTTTTCTGATCTTTCAAAGATCTAATTATTGTTTTGTATTATTCATCATTAATATTAAACAAACCTTTCTTATGAAAATCGTTTCAATTTTTCTTATATTCTCTTTCGTTTCAATAACAAAGTGAACGAAATTAGTTTTTCGTTGATATTTATTATTCATCATTAATATAAAACAAACCTTTTTTTGGAGGCAGCTTCACTTTTTTATCCTCAATCGTGTCCAAAGTCATCTGAAACAAAAAGATACTATTATTATTGTTCACCAATATTTTTTTCAATAATTAATTAATTTATTCCAAAATCAACGCTTGAAAATTTTTAAAAAATTTAAATTTGTTACTTCACAGAAGAGCAGAATTAATTTTAAAAGCTCAAGATAAAAAATGATTAAAATCGGTATCATCAGAAGTTTGATTTCTCACTTAATAATAGACGTACTTAAAATATTAAAAACTGTCATTTTAATCGAAGAGTCAATTGTTGATGAAAATTGATGAAGCCATAAAAAATTTCGATCTATCGTATATATATATGTAAGAAAAGGGAAAAAAAGCGCGTGTCCTCACAGCATGTGTGCGCAATATATCTGCCCTCTTATAAGGAACCTTATATAATAATAATAATATCCTTTTACAGTCTACAAGGACACGTGCTTTCAAGTGTATATAACTACATACAGAAGAGTCCTCAGCCACGCGCAAATGGTTTCCGAAGATCGTAACGACTGTCGTTCTGCATAAAATATCAATATAAATAAAAAAAAAATTTTTTTTTGATCAACGAGAATGAAAAGGAAGAAAAGGACGGCACCTGGATAAAATTCCCATGGATGATACCAGGGGATGAAAAATCCGTTTCGAGTTGTACTATCACATAACAATAGACAATCATATATAGATATAGAAAAGACAGGAAGATATGAACCAACAGGTAAAGGGGGAGAGGGAAAGACGCAAAAATTGGACAAAATCTTTTGCCCTATTTTGCACCCCCCCCCCTTCCCTTAAACTAAAACAGGATTCTATTTTTTCATTGGTAGAGGAGAATCCTCCCTTTAGCACATAACGTACCTTCAATCTCGTTCTTCACCATCTTCTATTGTAAATAATATTTTCCCAGGGCCTCCTGTTGCTCAAGGGGTCCTAAAATTATGTTAGGGTCCCCCCTTCTCAGTATATAAGGGCTTCACCCTTTGCACTCCGGCACAGTTCACTCCTCGATCGTCGTCGAACGAACATCCATACAACAGGCGATCCAGGCCGGCTGGTCCGGCCTGGTGGATCTGTTGTTTACCATCTGAGGAAAATAAAAACAACAAAGTTCTATTTTTCGCCGACAATTTTTCAATTTATCATCAAAAAAAAATTTTTTCGCGACATTTCAAGTAGTGTTTATCTAATCGGAAGTGCTCCAATTCTTTTCTGTCGCAGATCGAGGCAATCCAAATCATCATCATACAATGAGAAACCGGTGAGTTCAATTTCGGCTTTTTTCTTGGAAACAAAAAAAAAAAATAAATTCCCGGTTTTGGTGCTTCGATAGACTACTCAAAAGAAAAAAAAATACGTTTCAATATTTCTTTTTTGCGGCGATAACACCTTTAACCGCGAAATTTTGTCTCGAGTGTCTCAATCCGATCCTGCAATTCACATTTTTTGAAACTCAGAATTTCCAATTTTTTTGTGCATACAATTTAAAAAAAAAATTTATACAATAACAAATTCATTTTCGAGTCATAAAAAAAACAACAAATTCCGTTTTTAAAGAGGAAAATCAAAAAAAAATTGTTCTTCAAATACAAAATTACTCATTGAAATAGAAATTCATTTTCCAAACTCAAAAAAAATAATATTCCATAAATAAAAAATATTCAAAATCGAAAATAAATTTTCAGAATGAAATTACAAATTCACCTGAGTCTCAAACTGAAAATATAAAATTATTTTTTCAAAAAATAAAAAAAATTATTCCAACATTCAAAAATGTAAGAAAAAAAAATTAATATAGCAAAAATTGTCGAATAAAAAGGATTTTCTGTTTCGAATAATATTCTGGGTCCGATTTTTGAATCACGAATTTTGGCAGTTCCGTGTAAAAATATTTCGATCTTTACATTTTCTCTTCGGAAATCAAATAAAAAAGAACAAAAAAAAAATGATTTTTGAGCCGATTTTGTAATGGTCCTTTTTAAAAATCTAAATTCGTGTATAAAAAATAATTCTTCTATACTTTTCAATAACAATAATTATTTATTGACAGATTATTGCGAAAAGTATGATTGTTATTATTGACAGAAATTTATATTGTTATTGACAGTTATCAAAGTATTTGACGCAATGTTATTGACAGATAAAAAAAAAAATAAAAAATTGAATATTTTTGAAATACGAATTTTCTTGGCATTAAAAATTTTTTATTCAAAATATAAAAAAGGAATAAAAAAAAAATTCTCGTATTTACCTTCAAGGGGTTTAAAAACGATTTGATATGCAGATTTTTGAAATGAATCATTTTAAAAAAATCGGTCTGGCATCTGACACAAAAAAAAAATTCAAGATCGAAATTTTCATCAAAACACGAAAATAATTAAAGTTAGCTCAAAGCAAAAAATCTGAATCTGTCATTTTTGTTGAAAAAAAGAAAAAATAAAATAAATATCACTTGAGGCAAAAAGTCGTAGTCGAAGACGCTAAACATGGAAACAAATTTATAATCTCTAGGCACTACTCTATCCAGGCACTAAGACCCATTCGAAATTCTAAAAAAAATAATCAAAATTTTTTTTTTGGAAATTTCATTATCATTCTGTTCTATTAGAACTAAATTTGAACATTAACTAATTAATTAGTTTAAAATTCTTAACTAATTAATTAATTTTGTTGGAAAAAAAAAATTCGATTCTATTAGAACCAAATTTTAATTTCAAAATTAAATTTTCTTTTTACAAAAAAAAAAACTTTTCTTACAAACTCAAATATATCTGTAAAATAATTTCGTTACAAATTGAAGTGCTTTTTTTAAAACAAATGTCAAAATTATATTTCGATATAGATTCAAAATTAAATTTCGAAATAAATCAAAATTATGGTTCGAAATTTAATCCGGAAAAAATTTAATTATTAATTACACTCAAATATTGAAAATTTTATTTTGAACTAAAAACAAAATTATATATTTTGAACTAATTTTGAAAAATTAAGATTTAAAATAAAATATTACATTTCCTAGAAGGAAATCAAAATTTATAGTTTCAAATTGAAATCAAAATTAAGTTTCAATATTAAAAACAAAATTTTGTAGTTTCAAATTAAAATCAAAAATCCACTTTTTAATCGAAATAGCAAAATTAATGCTTCAAATTGCAACGAAAAAAATTATTGATTACAAAAATAAATGCCAACAAATTTAATTGTAGATAGAATTAAAATTGTGTTTGAAATTAATTTTACAAAGTAGTTACAAATTGCAATGAAAAATGTAGTTACAAAATAGAAACCAAAAATGTAGTTACAAAATAGAAATAAAACTGTGTAGTTACAAATCGATACCAAAATTGTAGTTACAATTATTTGAAATCAAAATGTAGTTACAAAATAGAAACAAAAATGTAGTTATACAAATATAATTAAATACTGTAGTTACCAGTCATGTGACAAAACGAGTGAAAAATATGTAGTTACAAATTGAGTAAAATATTAGTTACACTGAGTTACACCTTGCACAAAAAGAAATTATTTATTAACCAAAAAAAAAAAAATGTTTTTTGTGAATGCACTGCATCTTTTATTTTGTTGTGTTACAAAATTCCCAAAAATGAAATTCAATTTATAGCAAAAATCAAAATTTCTTTCCATACATTATTTTTCGAAAAAAGAAATCTTATTTTGAAATGGAATAAAAAAAAATCTTACAATTAAATAATTAAATTAAACAAAAAATTTATTAACATCAAAATTTGAAATTTAATCAACAATTTTTGATACTATGTGAATTTCTTTTTTGTGGCAAATATATATTTTTTCCGATGCATTGAATGTTCTCAGAATTTTTTCTTCGATTCACATAAAATTAAACAAGACTGATTGAAGTACAAATCAAAAGTTATGAAATAAAAAAAATATATATATATAATTATTTGAAACTGATATATTTAGTAATAATAATTCTTAGATTAGTATCTGTGTTGATATTTTCATATTACACAAAAAAAAGACAAAATTATATATAGAAATGCATAAGAACTGATCATAGCACAATTCATTTTTTTACAAAAAAAAATACTGTAGCACTGAAAATTCAAAATTTCCACAAAAAAAACACTGACTTTGAATTTTTATTCCAAGTAAAAATTTACAAGTCAAAAAGAGCCGTTTGCAATGAAAAAAATAACAACACTGAAAAATTCAAAATTTTTGATCAATTCTGCATGTTTGTTTGAGACTGAAAATTAGTTGTTAGTGAAAGAATTCCAAAAAAAAAACGTGGAAAAAAAAGTTTTTATAAATAAAAAATCACCAACTAAATACATTAATAATTATTATTATGTATAACAAAAATAAAAATATATATTTTTTAAAAATTCCAAATTATTGACAATATATTTCCGATCAAGAGAAAAAAAAATTTCATCTTTGGAATTCTTTCAATTTAAAGTTTGGCTCTTTTTTTAATTTCCTTTTCTACATTTTTTAGTTATTTTTTCTATCATTTTTGCTACACTTGTTCGAGAAAAAAAAAAAAGATGAGAACATATTGGTTTTACGTCAACCACACCAGAGTTTGTCCTTTAACCCCCCACCCCGGAAATAAAATATTGCCATATCTGCCAATCAAATATTTCCAATTGTCAGATTTCATCCGAAAATTATACCGAAAGCTTATTCTCAAAGCAATTTCACAATTTGAAGATTTACATTTACAGTAAAAAATTTTTATTAAATACTGTCAAAAAAAAAACAGAAGTAATTTTCATTCAAATTGTAAAATTTTTTTTAATTTTCATAGATATGATTTTTGTTATGATGAAAAAAAAAACGAAAATTATAAATTCTACCGGAAATCCTGAAATTAATTTTCAGCTTTAGGAAGAGCAGATATATTTAATGGTTTTTAATTTTTTTTTTTTGAAATCACGATGGAATTAAAAGGTTCTAGTCACTTCCGCTTTTATCAAGAGTATAACAAGTGCATTTTCAATGAGGAACCGCTTATACCGGAAGTACCCAAACCCCTCAATTTTTATTCACATGAAAACTGGGTGGCAATTTATGCACCCCTCGTTGACTCTCACCCCCCTCCCCCTCTCCAAACATACAACACCAACCTGTCAAATTTCACGAAGCAACAAGTCTGAAAATTGCATTCAGGATATACCACAAATTTTTTTATTCATAAATTTTCTTTAAAAAAAGAAACACAAAATTTTTTAACTCGAAATTTTAAAATTTATTTTATCGATTTTCTTTTTTATCAAAAATATTTTACTTAATTTTCTGTAAAAATTGGATTATATTTTTTTTTCGTTACAAAATTGAGAAAAAATTTAAGAAAATAGAATTTTTTTGTGAGAAAATTATATGAATTAGAAAATTTGTATTAAAAAATACAAAATTTATAATATAAAAAAGTGAAAATAAATATTTAAAAAAAAACTAATAATTTACAAAAGGGAAATATACATTTTAAAATCAGACAAAGAAACATTGAAAAAATATATAAATAAAATATTTCAAAAAAAAGGAGATTTAAAAATTTGTGGTTTTTGAAATTATATATCAAAATTTGAACATTTTCCTGACAAAATTCAAAACTTTATTTCCAAAAATAAAAATTGCAATATATATTTTTTTCTGACATATTTATAACAATATTCATAAAAGAAATATGATCTGGTTACAAAATTTCATCTTGGATATACTTTATTATTATAATGTAGGATTCAAAGATTAAAAATGCAAAACCATTAATTTCGAAGAATTTAAAAATTAATAGAAAAATTTCATTTTGGTATTTTAAACACACAAACAAAAGTTTTGCATAAAAATTTAATATTTTCAAATCTGTATTAATCATAGAAAAAATTATTCTTCGAATTCTACATTTTTTAAAAATTTGCATTAGAGTCAATATTTTTCTTTTTTTATCAAAAAACTAAACATGCAACAAAATATTGAAATTGTAACAAAATTAAAAATTATTTTCAAAAAAGACAAGGAAATATTTTCAACAGTTTTTACTCAAAAATTTTAAAAATAGTGCAAAAAAATATTGTTTCGCAAAAATTGATATCAAATTATTTTTTTTTGTTACAGGACAGTAAATTTTTATTAAAACCACAATTTTTTATTTATTCAGTAACTTCATCATAACATTCAAAAACATAAAAAACAAAAAAAAATAGAAAAAATCACAAAAAAATAGTAAAAATTTTTTATTTTCTGGTAACAAAAAAAATTCTTTTCGAATTGAATTTTAGGAATTTTTCAAAAACAATAATTTACAGTACATTACAGAATAATACCGAGCGATGCAATAGCAATAATTTTTTAAAATATCTGAAAAATTTTTTCCAAAATTTTAAAATATCAGTAAAAATTAGACAAATTATAAAAACCGAAATTTCAAATCAATAGAGAAAAAATTTCAAATGAAATAAGATATTTAAAATTTTGTATTTATAAAAAATAAAGTTTTCAAAAATGAAATTTAAAACAAACTGTAATGAACAAAATTGCCAATGAGAAATAAATTCAAATCTAAATTCCAAAATAAACAAAAGGGTAAAACCAGTTTTCTTTCTAAAAATTCGTCAAAACTTCTGCAACAATTATTATGAAATAATAAAAATCCAAGTTTCCAAAAAGCCCCAAAATTCAAAAATTAAAAACAATTGGGAAATTATAATTGGTAAAGCAAAATATAAAATACAATTAATAATCACGGAATACAATAGATTGATAAAAATTTATTTCAACAATTATAAAATTCAAAAACCTTAAAATTCAAAATTCCATTCATTGCTAATAATGAGCAAATAAAAGATTAATTTTTAAAAGAAAAAAAAAATTACATAACACACTTACACACACAAAGATATCCTCCGCAAAGAATTTCATCCTTGACCATTTATTTGAACCGTATAATTCCATGTTCAAAATTCCTAAAATTTTGAGAATCAGTTTTTATCTTCTGGAAAATTTTACTTCAGCTATTTTTACGGTCAAAATTGGGTTTAAAATTTTTTAAATACATACACGAACATACATATCGTTATCTAAAGATCTTTTCTCTACTCGTATACCTGCTCTCGAAACCAGTCAAAAGGCTTTCACTGGTACACCTTACTAGATCTAACCTGCAGATTCAAAAAAAAAAAAAAAATAGAACCTGCATAAATAGACGACAACCACAAAAGAATCACGAAAACTGCAAATAGAAGCAAAAATTCACAATAAAAACAAAATTAAGAAGATGCAAAAATCCTTTAGACCTTTTGTAATAGAAAATACATAGAAGAAAAAAAATTAATAATTTCCATAAATTTCTTCATCAAAAGAAAATTTTCAAATTAATGCTTCAAATTGTAACACAAGTTGTCATATATCAGATCATAAAATTCCAACCAGTTCCAAAGAAGTCCAAATATTTAATTATCTTTTATTTTTTTCAAATTCTAAAATCGTCTCTGAGAACATAAAATCATCATTTAAATGAATTCTAAGATAAAGTTCTCTCTTACTTTTTCCATATTCAAAATTAAAAAAAAAAAAAAACCAAAAATAAATCCTTCAATCGCAATCCAACTGAAAATCGTTTATTAATAGAATGAAATTACATTAAAATATATTCAGAGAAACCCACTTGAATTAAATTGAAATTGCATATATGCAAAGTCAGCAAAAAGCTATAACGATCAAAAGGACCGGAAGTACAAAGCCACGCCACAAAAAGAACCTGACTCTCATTGTAACAAAGGCCCACGAGAAGGTATATAACCGGGTGACCATTTGAGACCTCGGAAATTTGAAGAAACGACAAAGAAACCCTCACCCCTGCGGGAGTCTTTTTCTTAGAGTTTCGACCCCTCATGATTTCCCCCCCCCCTTTTTTTCTTTTCTTTCATGTGCAGAGCCAAGTAATTCAATGATTCATAAGCACCCTAGTTGCACAACACAATACCAGTTTTATAAACCGTATGACGTTCGCTCATGTTGTTTCTCTTATGTTCTTTCTCTTTTCTCTAAATTTTTTTTCTCTTCAAGATTTTTTTTCAAAACTATATATATATAGAAAAGTTAGTTTCTCACACCTTCATGTATGCACTTCCGTTAGAATTATTCTTCCCCCCCTACTTTATTCTGTGTTAGTATGCTTCGTAGCTGACGCTCACACCCTTCTAGGTTCTTGGCATTTGGACAACCCACATCCTCAGACTCCAATGGACCATGGAAAGGAGCGTCGAATTAGGGGGGAGTCATCATCCAAATGAAGAAACATCAGTCAAACAATAAACTGGAACCAACGAGTGCAGCAGCTGACTTGCAGATCTCAAATATCACAAGATTTCTAAAATCGTAAGCATCAAAATTCAAAACTTATTTTTGCCAAAATTCTAATCCATTAAAAACAAAAAACTATATTTTTATTTTCCCAATCACAATCAGCAAAAATGGAATCAGCATCTTTTCAAAATATGTAATTCTTTTAACAGAAAACGAAATAGAAAACCTCAAGGAAGGCGTCTTCTCTTCTGGCAGTACGAAACAATTGAAGATTTTTCTCAACCAGAACATTTCAACTCACGAAGAAGAAAGCATCCCCATACAGATATATATTAATGACACAAGGAGGCAGACCATAAATCCAGTACCCATTCAAAAAGAAAAAATCATCGTCAACGACAAAAGAAGACAATGCCAAATCAACGGAGGAAGAAAAATCTTTGCCAATTTCAAGAATACTCTCTTCATGGACACAAAAAGAAAATGTTTACTCAACAATCATTAATCTCTGCACTCGTGACCAAACAAAAAAAAAAAAAAATAGAAAAATCCATTCTGGCAGGACCAAAAAATAATTTTATTAAAAAGAGGACTTTAAATTCAAAAAACAAAAACGGCTCAGTTTCAAAAACCAATTCTCCACCAGTTCATCGTTCCTTGGCAAAAATACAAATAATTTTAATTACCATCCTCGAAAGAATCCGCAAGGAATCAGCAAAATCCAAATCAATTTTCCAAATGGTAAATTATTTTTCCAAATACATTTTCCAAAAGCAGCTTCACAACAAAAAAAAGTAAAGGGGATCGATCACTTAGCCTTGCAGAATGTCTTCGCTTTCGGAACGCCAGGTTAACGCAGAAACGATTCGTCGTGAAAAGCGAATCTTCGAAGCAGCACAAAGTGAAGAAAAAAAAAAAAAAAACGCAGCTTTTCTTAATTTACAGTCGAAAGCCTCTTTTCGTTTCCTAAGCCACATCATCAGTACAGAAATATTTTTTGCTACGAGTGACAAAACTCTGTTCAAGCAAAGTTGGTCTGCCAGCCAATCTCCTGCGAGTCAGAAACAATTTTCTCTTGTCATCGTTTAAAAAAGAAAAAAAGGGAAAATCAAAAACAAAACCAAAAGTCAACGAAGAGTCCCTGGCACGTCGAATTGTTCCCCAAAAAATAGAAAATAGAATCTCAATCAAGAAGAATCAAAACAAATTTCCGAGTTTCTTCAATCATTACCAGCTTCGTTCAAACATTCCCATCCGATTTTAAATCCAACGATCAAAGTGAAATAGAAGCTTTCAGAATAAGGAAACTTTCAACTCGGAAACTCAAAAAATCCATTGACCCAGAAGATTTATTTTTTTTTGCAGCGAATTATCAGTCTTTTTTTTCCAAAAAATTTGAATCACATCACCAGCGTCCGAAAGCGAACACGATTCCAAATTTCCTACACTTCGATCCAAGTCTGACAAGCCAATGAAGCAACGAAAACAGAAATCAACAAAGACATCAACTCAATAAATACAATAAACCTCAAAGGAGAATTCATTCAGTTTTACATTCTGGTCTCACATCAATATTTTGATTTGCAGTATTTACTTTCGAAGAGAATTTATATACAAAATCAAATATACATCACAGCCGTTGTCATTATTGCAAAATCAATTTCTCATCGTCTAACAAATTTTTTTTGGAAAATGGAAACCTGAGATTTAATTGTCAATACAGATGCAGCATCATTCTTGAAAATAGAAATCAAAATCAAATCTTGGAAATATAAAGCAAACACAATTATGGAAATATAAAGCAACCTCAAAATTGGATGCACAAAACAATTTTACAAATCAGTAACAAATCTCGTTACCACTAATTCATTTTAATTTACAAATCAAATTTTGATTTACAAGTATATTGACATCTTCAGTTTATAAATTATCATTTTTTGATACACAAATACAATTATCGTCTTCTGTTTATCAATTAATTGACCGCATCTTCGGTTGACATCATCAGTTATCATCTTTGGTTCATCAAATCAGTCTTTGGTTCAACAAATCAAGTTTTTAGTTCAGCAAACAAAATCCGTGTTTAGTTCATCAATCAAAATCAAGTCTTTGGTTCAACAAATTAAAATCAGTTTTTGGTTCAACAAATCAAGTCTTTAGTTCAGCAGACAAAATCCATTATCAGTTCACCCATCAAAATCCGTCTTTAGTTCATCAATCAAAATCCGTCTTTAGTTCATCAATCAAAATCCGTCTTCAGTTCACCAAATCAAAATCCGTCTTTAGTTCATCAAATCAAAATCCGCCTTTGGTTCACCAAATCAAAATCCGTCTTTCGTTCACCAATTCAAATCCGTCTTTGGTTCATCAATCAAAATCCGCTTTTGGTTCACTAATCAAAAATCATCTTCAATTCAGCAAATTGATCTTCGATTAATATACTGTATTCAGTATTTCATCATGAATTCAAAAGGCAATAAATCTGGTTCTTGTGGAATTCAACAGAATTAAACTAAAACTTGAATCTTTAGATACACTTTGAGCACAAGAAAAAAGAAAAATCCGAGGAACGGATTCTGGCAACAATAAAAAAATATAAAAAAAACAAAAAAAAAAATATATCGGCACCTGATGTCGACCACGTGGGCATTCTTATGTTTATTCATCAAGGGACCTTTCTCTCATCGAGGACAGCCGCCGTCGTGGGATTACACCGTCGCCACACATCAAAAAACAAAAAAAAGTAATATTTTCTGTTTCACTTATTCATTTATTATTTTTTTTTCAATCATTACACAGCCAATTGAATATTTCATCCAATCATTTCAATTTTTATTTGGCATTATTGTCAAATTCACTCAGCTTGGAACTAAAATAGATATATTTTTTAAAAAAAATTAAAAATTTGTTACATTTTTATCAAAATTTCTATTTTGAAACAAATTTTTATAATTTGAAAATTATTGTTCGTATTTGAAATATATTGTTTTTGTCAAAATATTGTTTATATTTGTAAAAATATTTTTCAAAAAAACTATTTTTACAAATCTAAATTGTTATATTTAATGAAAAAACAAAAAAAAAAAAAGAGTACAAAATTCGAAAAATTATTAATAAAAATTTATAAACATTTTTAAAATTATAAATAATTATGTTTAGTTATAATTATAAATATTATACATTATTATTTTTTTTTTGTATACATTTTAATTTTAATTACACTTAAAAATATTTTAATTTAAAATAAAAATGTTTATAAATTTGAAAAGAAGAAAAAACAAATTTCTATTTTTGTTCCTTGCTGTACAATAGAGGACTTGTAACGAGAAAGCCGTATATAAACTTGTCACTAATTTTTTTTTTTTTTTTTCAATTCTACGGTTTTTTAGTGAATAATTTCATTTTCACAAAAGACAATAGTAATAATTTTTCTTTTCCTTTCACTTGTAATCTCAAAATTTTCGACGATACGGCAGTCACGATCAAGGCCCTCGTTTTTTTTTTTTAATTTTGAAAATTTTAAGAACAGCAAAAAAAAAATATATATATACGGCTGTTTAGAATTAACGTTATTTTTAAGTAAGTTTATTTAATTTTCGTTACTTTTTTCTTTTTCGTTTTTTTTTTACATTTATTTCCCGAGAGAAGTAAATTATGCAAAAAATCAAAAGAAAATTTTTCTTAAAAAAAAAAGAATAGCTTTCAAAATAAAATTTTGTATAATTTGATTCTCTCGATATTTATTCGACAAAAATTATGCAGTTATTGACACATGAAAAATCAAAATGACAGAAATATTTTCCTTTTCGTGAATAATATAAAGTTATCGTGAAATAAATATAGACCATTGCAAATATTGATTTTGACGTGAAAAGAAATTTAAAAAAAAAAAAAAAATAAAAGCTTACTGTCAATAACTGTAGAAATTTAACTCGATATTATATTTTCTTTTTATTTTCAAAGAAACATTGTCGATCACTTTTGATAAAAATCATTAACGTATTTCCACCCTTTTGATCTGCAAAAAAGAACCGCAACATTAAAAAAAAGAAAATTAAAAAATAATTCCGCTTTGTCTTATATATATATTTTTTTTTTCAAAATAAATTGCAAACAGTGAATTTTAATATTTCGAATACAAAACAAAAGTACGTTCAATAATTTCAATATGTGATTGACAATGTTTTTAATTTTATTTTTTTCTTTCGGTTATTTGAGTTTTTATAATTTATTTTTTTTACCCCATAACAATTTGAAAAAAAAATTACAAAAAAAAAGAGAAATTAGAAACAAAAATGAAAAAGAATTCTGAATTAAAAAAAAAATTCTGAATTTTTTTGTAGAATAAAAATTCTACAAAAGTACGTAACAAAAAAAAAAAAAAGAAGAAAACAAAAATTTTTCTCCATTGAAAAATTACTAACAAACTGTTACGAAATTTAATTGTTAATGTTTTTTTTGGAACTTATTTTAAAAGAAATCATTGTTATATAGTTGTATAGAAAAAATATTTGTGCGCGCGGCTTTCAAAAAAAAAAGAATCGGATCAAATAGATTTCTTAAAATTGTGAATTAAAATCAAAAAAAAAATTTGTTTACAATTTTAAGAAATGCTCCGTTTTTTGAAAATCGTGCGCTTTCTGGAACTTTTTGAACGATATTCACACACATCTGCTTCAAAAATTCCTCGATCGCAATCAGGTCGTTTATTTCTTATTTTTTTTCAATTATTTTTTTTTTTTTACTTTTTGAGTTTTAAATATTTTATTTATTTATTTTCCGAAATCCATATACGCGTCGTCGCAGTTGTAAAATGGCTTGTTTTTCCCCCCTCCTCATTTTTCGAGAATCATATAACAATTGAGACGCAAAAATTTTTCTTATTGAAAAATTTGTTGAAAAATTTTGCAAAAAAGCAACTTTAACATTTTTTTTTTAATATTTTCGAAATTGAAAATTTTATAATTTAAAAAAAAAATTCAGAAATGATTTTAAATTAAAAGAACTTTTTTTTTCAAGAAAATTTTCAGAACAAAAAGAATTTGAATTTTTCCTTCACAGTCTAAAAATCAATTCTGAATGAGAATTAATTTGCTGCGGGCAGCGAATTTCTTTTTTTTTCAACAAAAGTTGATTTTCAATAAGAAAAATAAAAAAAAATTTGTCGAACTTGATTGAAAATTATTGTCGCTATTCAATTGAATTACGAAGAACAAACGACTTCGTTAAGATGCTTCTCGTTTTACTTTTATAAATTTTATATCGGTTTAAGTTGTTTTTTTTTTAATTTTTTTTTTTTTATTTATTTATTTTTATCTGATGCTGTCGTTGAGACAATAAGTGCGGATGAACATTACCCCGGTGAAATAAAAAAAAAAAAAAATAGAACTTAGGCTCGTTCCAAATGGTCGAGGAGACATTGGACAAAAAAAAAAGTAAATTAGATTAGTTAAGTAATAAGGTTTTTTTCTCGCGTTTTTCTGTCGCTTTTTACCAGTAGAATTAGATTTTCATCTATAAAAAAAAATACAATTATAGGATTAGGGTTTTTTTTTTGTATTCCTCGTTTTTCTCGTAACTTTTGTGTGTGTGTTAGTTTTAGAATTAGTGTAGGCTGAGAAACATTTTTTTTCGATTTTATTCAGTTTTCAATTCGTTTCAATTTCGAATCTTTTGTATTCGAATAAAAATCCATTGTTTTCCAATTTCAATATTTGCATTTTTATTTTTTTTTTTATATATTTGTCGTTTAGATTCGTTTAGAATTCAGAGATTAGGTTTAATTCGTGTTTTCCCCTATGTAGAATTTTGGAATAAGATTATTAATTAGAGAAATTACATATATAGTTAGATTAGGGATATAGGTTTAGAGCAATTGTGGAAAGTATTCGTGTTTGCAAAAAGTTTAAATTTCTTTTTAAACTTTTATTCATTTTTTTTTGTTTTTTAATAAAATACAATAAAATTACAAAAAAAGAATAATAATTTAAGTTTTAGTTTTGAAATCTTCTTTCCAAAATTGAAGTTTATGTTTTTTTTTGTTTGAATTCGATTTTTTTTTTTATTTACTTTTTTTAGTTCCTAATTTTTTTTTTAGTTCTATTCTTAGTTGTTTTACTTTTTATTTAATTGGTTTATTTTTTTTTAATTTTCTCGAATTGGTTTAAAATTCAAAATTTTTTATCAATTTTTCTTTTTGATATTAGTTTCGATAAATTATGTCAGTTTTTTTGATTGTTTCGAATTTTTTTTTTGTTTTTTATTTCTGTTCGTGTAAAATTTGTTTTCCACTTGTGTTAAAGTTTTGTTCAGGTTTTTAAAAATACCTTCCGTTTATTTTTCAATTGTTCAGATTTTTCAATGTTCCTGTTGGTGTTTTAGATTTTTTTTTTAAATATTTGTTCGTTAAAATTTCGTTCAGGTTTCATTTTTCTTTGATTTTTCAAAATATGTTTTCCGTTTTTTTTCCCCCACTGTTTTAGTATAATTGTTTTTTGATTCCAGTTTTTAGAAAATTTGTTCACATTCAAAAATCTAAATGTTCGAAAATTTAGAATAAAATTTTTCAAATATTTAGATCTTTGAATTTTCCATTTCTTTGAGTTTTTTTTTAAATTTTTTCTGTTTTGTTCAATTTTTGGTGAATTTGTTATCAATTTGTTGAAAGTTTGTTCAGGTTTTTTTTTTCAAAAATTCTTTTTGTTTTTTAATTACATTCCTTTTCGTTCTTTTCTTTTTATAATTTCGTTTAGGTTTTTTTTTTTGCTTACATTTCAGTTAAATATTTTGAAAACTGACATTTTTTAATTGTTTTTTTTTTTTTTGCCTGAAATGTTAAAATTCGTTTTTTTTAATGGGATCAGTTTTTTTTTTGTTACAGTTGTTAAGTTTTTTAGTTTTGTGGTTGTTGTAACAATTTATTGACGTTCAGTTACCGAAATTTTTTGTTTGTTTCCAAATATTTTTTCATTCGTTTTTTCAGGTGCTTGCGTTTTTCTATTCGGTTTGGCGTTCTTTGTTTAACTGAATTGTTATCTTTTAAGTTTTTTTCTTCTTCAAAAAAAAGCCCTAAATTTTTGGGCGTTAAATTACGCTTACTGTTTTTCTCTACAGTTTTATTTTGTGTTATTCGTTAGACAATTTTGAAAAAAAAAAATTATAATATTGTTTAGTGTTTTCTTTTTTATCGTTCCTATTTTTGTTAACTCGTTCCTGGCAGTGTTGAGTTATTTTTTGTTTTGCACTGCAAATTTAAAAACAGTTCACGTTAAGCATTGTTATTGTTAACCACACAGTTACGTTTGCATCTGATTCACTTAAAAAAAAGAAAAAATTAAAAAAAAAATAGTTGAAGTTATTCGTTAAAACGAATTTTACCCCTATTACATTTTTTTTGATTTTGGACATTACTTTTTGAAATCTATTACGTTTTATTACGTTTTATTGCGTTCTATTACGTTTTAGAATCATTTATTAAAGTTATATATTTGGAAAATAAATGCAATAACACTTGTTCAATACATATTTTGCCAAAAATGTTAAATATTTTTTCTATTTGTTATAAATTGGGTTAAAAAAAAAAATTTTGGTATAAAATGTGCAGGCATTTGAAGAAGTGTTATTTGCTTTATAATACAGAAAGTTAGTTGACCTATTAACACGAATCTCATGTTATTGTTTGGATTCACTTTAGAATTAAATTTAAACTGTTTCTCAAACTTTGATATTATTGTAATTCTACGTTTATTTTTATTATTATTATTATTATTATCAGAAGTTACATTGTTAAGTGCGAAATTAAGTTTACAAAACTGTTATTAAAAAAAAAAAACAAAAGTTGTTAAAAAATTTGTTAAAATAATGCTTGAGCAAATCATATCAAAAAAAAAAGAAAAAAAAAAGAAAGAATAATAATATGGTGCTATTTTGTTTATCATTTTCAAGAAATGATACAAGTACTGTTATTCTTTTTGTTTTTAAAAAATTGCATGTTACCGCTTAAACCCCCCATTCCTTTTTTCCACTTCTGATCCATAATTCTCTTAAATTGTTATAGCAACGACTGTTTTTTGTTTAGTTGCTTCCTTACCATTCTTACCTCGTGAACCCAAAAAGTTTGTTAAATATTTTTTTTATCAACGATCCCAACATTTTTTATTATTTAATTTTTGTACAATATTTCTTTACTATTTCTTTTTATTTTTTTTTAACAAAACTTAATTTGTAAATTGTTATTCTTTTATTGTATTTGTATAATTTAACTGAAAATTTATTTTCCACATAAAAGTTGAAATTTAATTCTGAAATAATTTTTTATGCCCAATTAAGTTGTATTTTTTTAAATTCTCGATAAAGTTATTTTAACTATTTCTTTTTATGTATGAAAATAAAATTTCAGATAGATGTAATTATAGCATTAGAAACTTGGATTAATTTTTTTTTAAGCTTCATTTATTTATATAATAATTATCAATAATAGTTTATCATTTTTTTTTATGAAATTTGGTTTCACCAATTGTGCCTTAGAAATAAAATATGTGATTTACGATATACTTTCCACAATGGCAGTAAAATAGGCCTAAAGTAGATTTTTTAGAATGTATAAGGATATATATCGACAATAAAATGTTCGAAAAAACATGCTATTTTACAAGTGTCACGTGTGCGTAGTTTTGTATGCTTTTTGAAATAAAAAAAAAAGTAAACAAATTGATGTTTTATTGACAAATTCCTTTCCTATATTTATATTTTAAAAAATTGCAAAAATTTCTTATAAATTTTTGAAAAATCAAGAATGTCTTAAAAGTTTACAATTAGATGAGAATTTGATATTTCTGGAACTTTGCCAAAATAAATTAGAATCTACATAAAAATTATATTGTTCACTAAAAAAGGTATTACAAAGAAAGGGATTAATATTTGTTATCATCGAATGGTAAGTTAGATATGAAAATTGTAATAAATGAATTTAATTGACAGTCGGTAAATGAAAACCAACAGTTGATAAATGATTTATCGACTGTTGGTAAATTGATTTTTTTTTGTTACCAACAGTCGATAAGTAATCTATGTATCAACTGACAATAAAATAGTAAAATTTTCAACAAATTACTGCTAGATGCCAATATCTGTTTATTTACAAACGCATGCGCCGGTATTGAGTGTTATAACACATCTTGATAGAGAGCAAAACAAGCTTCCAAGTGGTATAAGAAGACGCTAACACCTTTTTGTTCTTTTGTGTTATTTTAAATGACAATAAATTAGTGCCTAAAGTTACGTAATCAATAAAAATTAATTATCATTATGATCGCTTAAATTAATGACAATTCTTTAGCTAATTCTACACATGTTTTTTTACACGTGTTAAATATCGAATTTTTTTTTTTCAAAACCGCAATGGAGGACACTTGGGAAGCAAATTACGAAATTTCTATGGAAACGCCAGGTCAGTTTCAAAAATTCAATTTGAATATTGAAACTGCACGTTGGATGCTCTGTAAAATGAAAATTGCTGTATTTTTTTATATTATATAAAAGGAATTAGTATTTTGTTTTATTTCTTGTAGTTGCCAAATTTTCTCTAAATTTTATATTTTGAATTATTATTTAAGTAATTAAAAATTGCCTTTAATTTTTTTTTTTACTAGTAGACTATAATGAAAATTTCAGAAAGATTCAATTTGAATTGAAAATTGTCTCTCTAACAAGGCTGTCGATTCATTATATTCTCTTGCATTCAAAAGGTGAGCACGGTGTTCTCTATGCTTATCAAATCCACCCTCGAAGGGTTCGATGAACACCGCATGACTACCAAATCCATTTCATTATCCTGAGCTGCACTCCACAGATAATTCTCAATGCGATACTTACTGCTTCACTAGAGCCATTGTTTTTGATATGCGGCTTTGAATAAGTAACATTTGGATCTATATAGACATCAGAAATAATAGTCATTGGCAATATTAGGTTACTGCTAATTAGGATTTGTATTATTTGTAAAGCTAGAAGATCAAAATCTTTTGAAAAGACTTGTTTGCATCAATGAGTTTTGTTGAAGTCTAATTTTGTACTGAATTATAATTTTTCGGTTCGTTTTTTTTAACAAATTAAAAAGTTTAGGATCCAAGGAGATCAATTTTGATATTGTATTTTTAATCCTTATGTTCTGCAATGACAAACGGTGATGATAAAGTAGTTTACATTAATGATCCCGATTAGTTCGCAATCATTCAGAATAAAATTATAAATCGGTGATCAGTACGAAATTATCATTCGATTAAAAAACTTAATGTGATTCCAAAATGATTCGGAATTTGTATACGAATAGGTAATCTGCAAACAGTACTAAATCTTAGATTTCAGCTTATTGTTGACAATCATTTTTGGATTGTTATTTTGTACAACAATCTGGATCCAATTGGTTCAAAAATCCAAAACAGAAATGAGTCTGATATACTAAATTTTGTAAATCCAGAATCCGCAATTGTTCCACATTAACGGAACTGTGGTTTTGGAACTAATTCCGTATTTCTTTTGGATATAACTGCGGTGTAATTCCAGATTCACTTTACTAAAATTAGGATTATTGCTAATCATTTTTGGATTGTTCTTTTGTACAACAATCTGAACCCAATTGGTTCAAAAATTTAAAACAGAAATGAGTCTTGAATATTAAATTTTGTAAATCCAGAATCCGCAATTGTTCCACATTAACGGAACTGTGGTTTTGGAACTAATTCCGGATTCACTAAAATCGGATTTCTTTTGGATATAACTGTGGTGTAATTCGAGATTCACTTTACTAAAATTAGGATTATTGCTAATCATTTTTGGATTGTTCTTTTGTACAACAAACTGGACCCAATTGGTTCAAAAATCCAAAACAGAAATGAGTCTTGAATATTAAATTTTGTAAATCCAGAATCCGCAATTGTTCCACATTAACGGAACTGTGGTTTTGGAACTAATTCCGGATTTCTGTTGGATATAACTGCGGTGTAATTCCAGATTCACTTTACTAAAATTAGGATTATTGCTAATCATTTTTGGATTGTTATTTTGTACAACAATCTGGATCCAATTGGTTCAAAAATCCAAAACAGAAATGAGTCTGAAATACTAAATTTTGTAAATCCAGAATCCGCAATTGTTCCACATTAACGGAACTATGATTTTGGAACTAATTCCGAATTCACTAAAATCGGATTTCTTTTGGACGTAACTGGTCTAATTCCGAATTTACTATACTCAAATCCGGATTATTGCGAATCATTTTTGTATTTTTCTTTTGTACAACAATCTGGTTCCAATTGGTTGAAAAATCCGAATCAAAAATGATAGTATGGAATACTAATTATTGTAAATCCAGAATCCTCATTTGTTCCACATCATCCGAACTGCAGATTTGAAACTAATTCCTGCTTTATTTTGAACAAAACTGCTCTAATTCCAGATTTACTTAAATCAGATTTATTTTGAACTAATTCCGAATTCACTTTACTAAAATGCAGATTTACTTCGGATATAATTGGACTAATTTTGAATGCTAAAAAACCTGACCATAAACCAGATTGTTTTGGACCAATTAATTTAATGATGATATCAATTATAATTATCATTCTTCTAAAAATTCTTCTAAAAAAATGTAATCAAAAAAATAATCTGAGGTAAATATTAGAATCTTTGGAATGTAAAAAATTGTTACAACGTCATCAACCATTCAATGTGCTTACTACAATACTACTACTACTACTACTACTACTACTCACAACCTTCTTATTCTTTCAGGAGGTGCGGAAGTGAATGCAACGTAAAGCAGGAGACGTATCGTATTTGTGTTCAGCGAGTGTTGAGTTCACGAGACTTGCGTATATAATATCAGCTGATCACATTGCTGGGGGTTGCCGGTGTCGATGGATCGAAGGGGGTTGGTGAGGGGGGAAGCTTATATTGATGCGGGGTGTAGGGGGGGAGGCGTGACAGACTATCGCTGCGGGGGCGGCGGGGGATTTTTGAAGTCTAGTGTGGCGCGAGCCGCTGCAGTGTTCGGTCCTTGTGTTGTGATCATCGTTTAATGGTGCGGTGACGCATTTTCTTCATCTTCATTATCATCATTATCATCTTCTTTCTTTTTTTATTTTTAATCACTACACTGTGTTTCAGTCATAATATTAGAAATATATAGGGCTTGTGACGAATTTGTGTGGCAGTGTGCTAAGTGTAAAAAAAAAGAAAAAAGAAGAAGGGGTTTGGAGATCAAGGGCCAGAGAATGAGCGCCAGAGAAGTTACCCTACTCGGCGGCTCCCCTTGGGGCTTCCGCATGCATGGCGGTCATGACCTGCATCAACCCCTTCGTATCTCCAGGGTGAGTGGATGCTTCATATTCTTTTTTCCTCTCTTTTATTTTTTTACTCTTCTATATGAATTTCTTTCTGACAAATTTATTTTTAGATGAAAAATTGTTCTCTCTCTTTATCTACATGTTTTAAATTTTGTTTACCATTTAATGAAATATTAATAAATCTGTTAAGATTTTTTTTTACCTGTTTTGTTTAGTATTAAATAAAAGTAGTGCGAATTTTGATTAGAGACATTTAAAATTCCCGCCACTATTTGATTGGTGGCATATACCGCGCATGCGTAGTTGGAGAGAATTTTTGGCGCTCGAATACATAACCTTAAATTCTTTCCTTAAATAAAGTATGAATATATTTATTTTCTAAAAAAAGAAATGCTACTATACTTTCCCATGAATTAAGGTTAACTTCTGTTTTCATTTTTTTTTTATTCCAATTGAAACAATTAGATAATTGAATTAAATGAATTCAGTACAAATGGGGCGAGTCTGATTGAATTAAGTGTGCTCTTTAGATATTAGTGTGTAAAATTCGTAGAACTGTTAATGAATTAGAAAAATGAAGATAAAATTTTTTTTGTATTCAATAAAAATCGACTATTTTTAGGAAATCGAGCATTAAATTCAAGAATATATAGAGTGTTGTATATAACGGGTTGAACAAAACGTGACTGGCTTTTAAGTTTTCGAATAAGATTATAAAACGGTGCGCAAGTGTGATAAAACGTCATTGCAGCCTTGGGGGACTTGAAAACTACGATAATCCAAACGTATTATTTATTATCGTATATATATAGCATCCTAAAATATGTGGCTTTTCCCCCCTCTTTTGCTATATGTTGAAGTTTAATTTGCATAACGAGTATACATGCAATCTTCTTCAAGAGGAAAAACAAAACAATCCGCAAATTAACAGCCTCCAGACTATAATGTTATTTATTTATAAATATTACAATAATAAAAACATTCTTCTGAGGTTTGAAAAAAACAATATATTTAAAAAATAAGAATTTATTGAAAAAAGTCTAAAAGGATATATTCTAGATTTTAGAATACTATTAAAGAATAAATATCGTATTGAGAAGTTAGAATTTTGCAGAATTTTTTTTTTTTTTTTTTTTTTACTGCTCAGACAGTCTGACCTATGTCGTTTATCATTTCTGATTCTCTCTCAGCCTTCTAACTGAAATAAACAAAATTCCGCATGTCTATTTTGATGGTGAAAAGCATAAATATAATGTTGTGCAATAGCGGGCCAAAAATTTGCATATTTTTATTTTTTTGCTTTGAAATCTGTTGAAACATGTTTATTGTGACATCTCTATTGCATATATATATAATAATAATGAAATAATTATGTTAATTCTGCAAAAATTTATTTTTTACTGCACTTGCATTTTATAACAATGAAAAAAAACCTTTCTTCTTTTGAAATTATATATTTGTTCTATTTGAAAATGCGCGCGGTTTGCAAATTACTCTCATTGGCTTATAAGAGTGAGTGTTCTGCGCAAACGCAGAAAAGAAACAAAGTTGTCTGCTAATTTGTCATTTCTTCAGTGTTATTGGATTCCTTTAATTCCATTAATTCATTAAATTAACTATAAATGAATATTATTATCCCAACATAATTATATTTCTATGAATTGTTTTTTGTCATAATGAAAGCACAATCCTTTTCTTTCATATATAAAAATGTGAAGACTTTTTTTCGCACTTCGTTTCTCTTTTTGAGAATTGCAAAGACCTTTTTCTTCAGTATAAATATATATATATGTTCTCGATGGAAAGTGCACTTTCCTGCTTACTGAAGTACAGTGGTGGCATTCAAATGATAAACTGTGAAAGAGCATCATTGTACCTTAATAAAACTTAGCAAAAAAAGAAAAGAAAACATAAAAATAAGAGCGGAAAAACATTTTATAATATCAATATTTAAAATCTATTATTTCAGTGAAGAAATATATATATATATTTTTGTAATTTAAAATTCATACATGTTTTTAGAGATAAATCGTATGTTAAAATTTGTCGTCTTGATTACTTAAAACTCGTGGGAGTTTATATAAAAAAAAATATCGTTGAAAAACTCAGTTAAACTGAAAATCGGAGATTTTTCGTTTAGAAATGTATTTTACGATTGGAAATAAAAGCAGAATTGAAATCGATCAATATATATATATATATAAGGTCTTATACGTTTCTGAGAGTCTGCATTTACTGGCAGCTGCAGAAAAGAGCCTCTCATTTCACGTTTTGAACTAAAGAAGAAGTAGTCTAAAAAGAGTTCACTCGCAGCTTTTTTTTTGAAAAAGAAAACGAAGATATTTGTCGGTGCAAAAAAAAGTGTTTCCAATTTACTTGCGGCTTTTCTTTTGAATTATAAATTTTACTTATAAAAAACAACATTTTGATTATTTTTGACCATGAGAATATTTATATTTTCATAAACTGATAATAATATTTCCTATACATAAAAAAAAGAAGATACTTGTTTGCTCTACTAAACCGAACTTGATAGTTTAATTTAAGTGTAAAGAGTGATAATTTTCTTATAATATATATATATTTTTTCTTATCACATTGAAATATATCAGCAAAGAAATTATTTAATACGTTTGATTGGATGTAAAATTGAAGATATTGAGTAATTACTTATATTAGTTTATTGATAACTATGTTTTATCTATTTTATATTTTTATTTTCTTTCAACAATACTATTTTCATAAAAAATTTATCTTATTTATTGCTTTAGTTGATATCAAATGTAAATGAAAAAACTACTTTGGAAAAAAAAAAATTATAAATTTTTTTGTGGACTTATAACGCGAGATAATTTTATTTATAAAAATTATTTTATGAAACAAAGAGATACAATAAAAGTACCTATAAATAATTCTCCCTTGTAGCGATAAATTACGATATGTTAAAAAAAGAAGTTTAAATTATAATTAATAATTATTATTATTATTACTTTTATTATTTTTTCATCGAATTATCTGAATTTTTCTCAATTTACATTTTGACGTAATTATAAGCTTTTCAGGTTATACTGTTCTTACATTATCGCTTTATTGATAATATATAATTAATTATGAATAATTAACATCAAACGATTTTTATACATATATTGACATTTTATATTTTAATGAATGTTTCAATATTTCATCGACTAGCAATGACATATTATTAAGTTATTAATGTTTTTTGCTTTTAAAATACATTATATCTAATTAAAATTTATTTAATACTCAGCGCGAGTTCGACAGATGAATTTTTTAATAGTGAAATTGACTATATTTTTAACAAATTTACAGAATATTTGGAAAATTTATATGTTTATTTTATTACAAATGAAATATTCAATAACCAAATTTTATGCAATTCTTTTATAAAAATGTTTAAATTAATTTGATGATAATAATAACAAAATAATTATATAATTTAAACTTCTTTTTTTAATATATCGTAATTTATCACCACAGGGGAGAATTATTTACAGGTACTTTTATTGTATCTCTGTTTCATAAAATAATTTTTATAAATAAAATTATCTCGCGTTATAAGTCCACAAGAAAATTTATAATTTTTTTTTTTTTTTTTGATTAATAAATTAGATGTAAAAAGGTTTTTAGAATAATGAAGAAATTTTTAAAAAATAGTCTCAATAAATGTTAGTGAAACACTGAAATTATATACAGTTAAAAATCTGATATTTAAAAGTAATGCAGTTCATATTTCCGTAATTTGATAAATGTCTTGAGTAATAAATTAACTCGCCCTCTAAAAGCGGAAATTAAATGGTTAATTAACTCTTATTTGTTAAAAAAAAACCGAAAGAACATAATGGATTTTAAATTAATTTTACAGTTTTTTTTTTCTAAAAAAAATAAATTGTAAATTATAAAATTGAATAGAATTATTTAAAAAATTATTAAAAATTATTAAAAATTATTAAAAATTACTAAAAATAAAAAAGTTATTAAAAATTATTATTTAAATTTATTATAATAAAAAATTAATTTAATCAGTTTTTACGTAATATATTGAAAAAAAATTTAGCGATTCTATTCAATTCAAAACCTGTTTTAAATTTTTTTTAAAAAAAAAACGAAAATGCGCTTTAAAGATATATTAATTCAGATCTTGATGAGCAATTATAACGAGTAGGTCACGTTGATTAGTGAACTTGAACTAAACGAACGAGTTTTAATAATACACAACATCTGTTATACTGCGAGAGCGAAAGTTTCAATTATTCCATGAATAATATTTTGAATATTGTAATGTTTTTTCTTTTTTTTTTTTAAATAATAAATTTAAAACACAATTTCTTTTTGGAAATGTTTTTTTTTTAAATATTTACAAAATTCATGATGATATTGGAATTATATTATTTTTTGCAAGTGAAATAAAATTAATAATTAAATATTTATATTGAAATAAAATGAATTTTAGTTTATTTTAGATTATTAATTTTAGTAGTCAAACAATGTCAACAAATAACTATGTATTCCATTGACATAACCGCGTGCTATGCTGTGAGAATCATGATACAGTTCGGAATTTGCGAGATTTGGACCTTTCGATGTGTCTGCGAAGCAAATATGCAATCTATGTCTGCTGGCAAATACGACGAATATATATATATAACTCACCGACCAGTAGCTTCAATTACAGTTTAGAATTTATAAACCTACTGAATATTATTATAACAAATAATATTTTTAAAAATTATTTTACGATTACAATTAAATGTGACGATGACAATATTAAATGCAGAACAGAATGCTTCAATTTATAAAGAAAAAGTAAATTTTACTCTCTAGGGATAAAAAAATCATTTTTCTTCCTAGGGTTATAAACAGTTATTTTATTCCTTCGGGTTAAAAGTTGTCATTTTACTCCCTAGGTTTAAAAACAACTCACATTACGCCCTTGGATTAAATGGGGCCATTTTACATACTAGTAGTATAAGAAATGGTTATTTCAAATATATATTCGAAATGAAGTAAATTTTAGTCTTTTATAAAATAAAAAAAATTCATCGTTTTATCTACTTCGATGTTTTAAAGTTATAGTATATGAAATAATTCGCTGATTTTAATATCTGATAATGAAAAATAAGCAAGTAAACAAGTTTCAAGACTTCCTTTAAAATTACATAATCTGCGATTTTAATGAACGTTACCGCGCTAAAAGTCACGTGGCATTTATTCATATATATATATAAATAAGGTGCTCACGCGTAAGATGCACCTGTTAAGTCACTTAAAATACGAATATAAATATTATGAGTTTTTACACGTTATACGTTTACTTATGTATAATTGAAATAAACATTTAGTTCTACCTGTGAGAAAATGCATACACATATATGAAAGAACAATATTCTTCTGACATTGACTTTACATATATATTTCAAGGTCACGTATGTACTTAAAGAATAAAATTATTCTTTTGCATCGCATGTGATGTCATTAAACAATTAACTCCTCATATGGATCTTTTTCTATTTTATTATTAAATTATTTTTTTTTAAATAATTGTAAAATTTATTTATTTATTTAAAATAATAATAATAATAATTTTAGAAAAAAATGCTGAAGGATTTTTTTTTATGTTGTCTTAAAATGAATATTTGGAATTCGATCTATTCTTCTCTTGGATTCTTTTCTTTGAAATACAGTTATTTTCTAAAAAGAAATCCTCGAAAGGTGATTTTTATTTACCTGCTTTTTTTATGGCTTTTGAAAGAAATTTGTGATTTATTCATTTAATAGAAATTTGAAAAAATAACTAATTTAATTTGTTATTATTATTATAAACAACTTCTTTATTGAGAATAGATTTTTTTTTTTTTTAAGAAAACACACTTATTGTACTTGAAATAGAAACTTTAATTTATTAAAATTAAATTCTATTGCATATATTGATATTTAATTTAATTTTAAATATCGTATTAAAAAAGAATTTATAAAAAAAATATTTATAATAAATTTTACAATAAATATATAAAAATTAATATAAAAAAGAACCTTAACTGTGAGAAAAGTAACCTGCGCCACCTAGGAACAATTAATCGAAGTCGAAACAAATTGCGCAGTCGTTTATGCGCACAACGCGGTAATATTTAAAAATTACAAATGAAAAAATATCTTATTAAAAAAAAACAAATAATTTTGAATTTAAATTCTCCGCGCACAACATACTAATAGAAATATAGAAAAGATCACCTGACAATTGATAACAATGTAAAATTAATTTCATGGTCATTCGAGTGACTGAAAAAAAACACAATTATTGTAACGTATTTCTCATATAGTGAGAAAAAAAAATTAAATTCGAATGTAAAATTTTCTTTAGCTTATTTGACCCCAATCACCTCGTATTTTAAACAGCTGCTACATCTATGTCTAGCGATGATGACGATGTATGTAATATGAAAATCCACGAAAATAGACACGTGTTTTCACTGCAATTTAACATAGAAAATTTAGTTTAATTTAATAAATAATTTATTGTAATAATTATTTTTCAATGAAAATATGAAAGTAAATATAACTTTTTTTTTTTAAAGTGAAACAATTTTTGTTTATAAATTATGAAAACTTATTAAATAGTAATACATTTTTCTGCAGATGACACAGTACATTGGCTGACAGCCGAGTGTCAAACCTAAAATTACTGTCGTATGCATTATTTCTCTCTTTCTCTCTTGTCAGTAATTACTTGTTTTGACAAGTTAAACACATGGATTCTTACTCATAAAGTGAGTTTCTAAATGAATACATATTTGAAATGCAGAAAATATATTTTTTCAAAAAATTATTTTTGAAACTAAAGAATAATATTTCAAAATGATACATATTTATTAAAACATTATTTTAAAATGATGAAAAAAATAACTATTTCATTTTAATTGCAAAAGTAGATAAAGCAAAAAAAAAGAATCATGCCTGTGAGAAAAGAAACTTGCGCCACCTAGGAACAGTCAATCGAAGTCGAAACACACTGCGCAGAATTTTATGCGCACAGCGCGGTAATATTTAAAAATTACAAATAAAAAAAATCAGTGCATCTCTCTTTAATAATTCCAACAATAGAAATTTGATTCATTAAAAGTTTATAATTCTTTTTTCCTCCTCTTCTTTGAAACATACCTTAAAACTTTCATTCTATGATTTAATTAATTAAAAAAATCTTCATTATCGAAGATTCTTCTCGACGCTATTAAAAAAATTTCTTCGATAATAAAATTCAACTGATAACTTTATTATCCAATTTAATTAAAACTATTCCCTTGAATTTAATTATAATTGACTCTCCTCATTTAAATGGTACTTGATTCGCGGAAATTGGAAAGGAAATTACAATCTAGACTTAATTTGATTTTGAAAAGAAAATGAGGAATTATAATATATTCATGAACATTATTAATTTTAACAAATCAATTATTATTATTATAAAAGCGTTTATTAGTTTTTAATATTAAATAATTTAAAATTAGTAAAATCATTACCATTGTAATTAAAATTAAAAAAATTAAGGTTTTGTAAATGTTTGTTTAGATTTCATATAAAAATTATTGTTCAGATAATTTTTTCCAAAGAAGAATAATTTCATTAACAATGAAACGAAGCTAACAAGTGATGAAATTAAAAAAAGAATGTCGAAGTAATAAAATTCTCATTTGTGTTGTGTCATGAATCTACATTTGTTAGTCAAAATTTCTAGATCATGAATTAGCATAATTTACACTTGAATTGCGATTTATGATAATTTGAATATATTTTGATATGTGTTATAGTCTATTCACTCTTATTACAACAATTTTCATCAAAAAAAAAAAAAAAAAAATTATTTTTTTTTATCACAGAAAGAAAAATTAATTTCTATATTCACTAATTAGTACATAATTTATTGAAATTATTATATAACATAATTAATTCTCATGTTCTAAACTCATAGGTATATATTTAAAAAAAAAAAACAAAATTATAATTTAAATAGACAAATTTTTTTTTTTTAATCGAAGACAAAATAATTACAAAAAAAATTTATTTATAATTGTAAATTTTTAGCATTACATAAAGATGTTTCACGTGAAATTGGATACATTAATGAAAATTGTGAGTCTTTATAATCCGGATTTTGATACAAATCACAAAGTGAATATGATTTTGAAAATGATTGAGATTTTTCTTTATTATCAATTTGAAATAGATTTTTTTTCAAATTACAACATTCAGATTTTGAATGTGAATTTTTGGGAATTTTAAATTTTAAAACATTTGCTTTTAATGAAAGTGGTATTTCAGAATTTGTTTTTAAATCTTCAATTTTCAATTCTTGTGCTTTCTCGAAACATGATAAAAAATAATGTCCACGTTTTTGTTTCATTATTCCAAATTCAACACATCTTTTAAGTGCATCAACTATCTTAATAATAGATATAATTACAAAAATTAATTAATTAAAAATTTCAGTTATTGCATTCAAAAACTTTTAATTACTATAAAAATATTTACCATTTTTTTCGTTGTTTTTTGAGGACTAGATTTTGTAATGAAAGCAAATATTTTTCTTAATGTAGGTTTATCAGTTTTTTGTAAAATTTTCAACGCTGTCATAACGAGAATTACAACATTTATCCGACGATTCATTTTGTAAATATTATTTTTTTATTACATATTTTTGTGAATAATTCTTTAATTTTTTTTCATTCTAATAAGATTTCACTGACATTTCTAATTAAAGAGAGGAGAGAAAAAAAATGAACAATCGATAATTATCGATTTTGACGTGTGAACATAACTACAGAATTATTTAATGTCATAAAAATATAAATAATTTAATAAAATCGATAACGAATAATAAAAAAAATTAACAGACTTTTAAAATCATTTAGTAACTTCAAGTGTTGATGATAAGAAGAAACACATGTTCACCGCATTTAATGTCATAAGAATCGTTATCAATTTCCGGAGTTAATTATATTGTTAAAAAGAATATTTTTCATTTGTAAAATGTAATAGAATTACATGTGGGGATATAGCTCAGTGGTAGAGCATTCGACTGCAGATCGAGAGGTCCCTGGTTCAAACCCGGGTGTCCCCTAAATTTTTTCTTTTTTACTCTAAACACTAAATTTTTTGTTTAAAAATTTTGCTAGAGAATACTGCAAAAATAATTTCTAACTACAAAAGATCGTAAAATTTGCATTTGTTTGAAATTTCCTTAATTGTAATCATTAAATTTTTTCCTTGTATCTTTCCTTATCAGTACATTATGTTTATCTTCATTTTTTCAGGTAATTATTAACATTTTTTGATCGTTTTAAAAAATAAAATATCTTTTCTCAACATGTGGGGATATAGCTCAGTGGTAGAGCATTCGACTGCAGATCGAGAGGTCCCTGGTTCAAACCCGGGTGTCCCCTAACATTTTTTTTCATATGAATATTTTTTTTTTCATTATTTAAAACGGGTATTTTTAAATAAAATTCAAAATAATGAAAATGATTATTTAAAAAATAACTTTAAAAAATGTTTCATTTGTGCTACATTTTGTTGCCCAAGGCACTATAAGAAGGATATTAAATTATGTTAATTTGATACTGAGTGCACATTTATTACTTTTTTACGACGCATAGTTTTGCCAGAAAAAGCGCCAAGGTAATAATAGTTACTTTTTTTTATCTCATTCCTCGATTGTGCGTCACGTAAATGTTTTTTTTTTTTATTATTTCTCTGTGGATTCGCAAGTTACTAACAATATTAATTAATTAATAGTTATTAATAATTAGTTAATTCTATTGTTCATTGACTGGAAAACTTGAATATTTTCAAGATTTTAAATCTAATCCTTCCAGTTGGTTAAACGTCAAGAACCAACTATTTTCATTAACATTTACTGTGGTATCCTTGTAATCGTGAAATTGTGCGGTTTTAGACGAAACTTGACGTTACTTCGTGTGCAAAATGCCATTGTTAGCAAAACTCTATATTATTGATCCGAATTATATATGTATAAATATTCGTCATAGAGAGATGAGAAAATTTAATTATTTTAATATTTATTTATTTATTAATAATATAAAAAAAATTAAAAATCAAAAAATCAAGTTCAAAAAATTTCGGTATTTTAATATTAATCTTATTTTATTTATTTTTATACACTTAAGTCCGAAACCAATTGCAGAAAATTTGCTAAACTGCAACACATAATTTTTTATAATTAACGAGGATATTTCTAAAAAAACATTATCAATTTTGATAATAATCTTGTTATTTTACTTAGTTTCATTCACGTAAGTCCGAAACCAATTGCAGAAAATTTGCAAAACTGCCACCCATAATTCTTTTTATCGAAAGTATCTCAAAAAAGGAAAATCAATTTTAATATTAATCTTGTTATTTTATTTATTTTTACTCACTTAAGTCCGAAACCAATTGCAGAAAATTTGCCAAACTACAACATATAATTTTTTTATTTAACGAGGATTTTTCTAAAAATAGATAATCAATTTTGATAATAATCTTGTTATTTTATTTAGTTTCATTCACGTAAGTCCGAAACCAATTGCAGAAAATTTGCAAATCTGCCACACATAATTTTTTTATTTAAAGAGAATTTTTTTAAATATAGATAATCTATTTTAATATTAATCTTGTAACTTTATTAATTTTTATTCACTTAAGTCCGAAACCAATTGCAGAAAATTTGCAAAATTGCCACCTATAATTCTTTTTAACAAAAGTTTCTCAAAAAATGATAATCAATTATAATATTAATCTTGTTATTTTATTTAGTTTCATTCACGTAAGTCCGAAACCAATTGCAGAAAATTTGCAAAACAGTCATACATAATTTTTTTTATTTAACAAACCTTTTTCTTAATATAGATACAATTGTTTGTTTATAAATTTTCTTGTGTATCATTTTTCAATTTTCTCTTTATTTGCATTTCGTTTGTAACAGTGGTTCTCTTTTTTTTCAATTATTTTTACATCTCTGAAACTATTCGTCGTCTACTGCCTTTCATTGCAGAAATCAATCGCTGTAAGCCACATCAATATTTGCTTTGAAACTTGAATCGTTGAATCTCTCGCAAGCTCTCTGAAGGCGATTGAAAAAATATTTTTCTTTTTCGCCTTTCTTCTCTTACTCAAGAGTTTATTATTTATATATAAATACATGTACAAGAAAATAAGCAATAAAAAAATTCCTCTTTTTTCTCAGTTCGTTTCAAAATATACTCGCTTACATTTTATATATTTTAGTGAGATGAGTGGTGATATAAAAATATTGAAAAAGTAAATAAAAAGAAATTATTAAATATTCGCATAATATTGAAAAGATATTAAATTTAATTAATTATTAAATTTTTTTAACGATTTCAAAAAGTTATTAGTAAATTTTACGCCTGTAAAAGGACGACACTCTCAACAATACTGTACAGCAGGTCCACTATAGCCAGGCATCGTTGGCAATTGTCCAACTTGAGCGTAGCGAAAAAAAAAGAGTAACATATAAACAAACAATAAATTGTAGAAAATTCATAAAAGTTTTTGTGGTTTTAAACTAGACGATAAATTGCTATATATATAAGATGTATATTATTATTTTCAAAATGTGCCATATTTCTTATATAATATTTCCAATAAAAATTTTTATAACAAAAAAAATTTGTTCATTGTACTAAAAATTTTATTTTAATAACATTTTTTTAAAATTTATTGTAGAAACTATTAATATAATTATGATTTAATTTTATTGTTCATTATCAAAACCATTTTAAAAAAGTTAAAAATCATTTTTCCAATAAATGTAAAATTATCGCGTTAAATCGATAAGATCAAGATTAGCGCGAATCTGACAAATCTTCTAATCAAAAATATCTTTTTGTATAACAAAGTCAAAGTAAATGTAAAAATCATGTTTCTTTAAAATATATCTCAATAAAGAATATCATTTTTTTATAAATCATTACAGATAATTATATAGAATTATAGTTCATAAATTTATTTCAATAACATTTATTTTATTTACTTTATTTATTTTATTTATTTTATTTATTTTTTTATTATTGAAAATTTCTATAGATCTTTTATATTATGCTAAAAACTTGTTGTGTTAAATTGAAAAGAAGCTATATTTATGTTAATTGAAGAAGAATCTCTATAATATTTTACGCGCATTCATGTCTCCAAAGCGAGTCATTGGTCATTTAGTAAAGTGACTTAGTCATTGGGAGGCTGCATTCCCCTTTGCATTAGCCCCTTACCACATATACGCCCGCATAACATAGAGCATATGTTGCCTTTCTTATCCATGCGTTACTTGTATTTACTTAAAACGACCGCCCATCATGACTGTCTCCTTAATTCACAGTGCCCTTTGCATAAAAAAATATTTTTAAAATATTTAAATCAAAAGAAAAATTATTAAACAAGTAAAAATTTGTAAAACACGATAATTTTGTTTCCAAATGCTTAAAATATTATTAATACCACAGTTGATAAGTAGAAAAGATACATTACCGACTGATGGCCCAGTAGATTTCTAATGTACCGTCAGTCGGTAATTGTTCCTTAATGGTAAATTTATCCCATGGTTTGGAACGCATTACTACTTTATTGACCAAAGACAAAACTTTATTGACTACTTTACCGACAAGTGGTCGGTAATAAAGATTTGTACAACACCATCGGTCGATAATTTATGATAAATTACCGACCAATGATGTGGTACAAATCTTCATATTGAGTATTACTGCTTTATTGTACTATTACTACTTTCTACTTGTCATAAATTACCGACAGTGGCAATTTTATTCACAGTTGGTAATAGAGATTTCTCTCATACCATCAGTAGATAATTTTCAAATTTTTTTTTTGTATATATTTTCAAGAAAATGATAATTTCTTCATTAGGAATAAAAAATTTTATACTTATTAAAGTGTAAATTGTATATTCGCTATGTTTGCAATTAATTTTTTATCGTAAATGAAATTAAAGTACTTTTATCTAAAACATCTAAATTGTGACAAATTGCCCTTGACTCAGAATTGCTATCAGTGACAAGACGGACCACTCTCTATTTTCATGATACTGTATAGCGAAAGAGAAAGAGAAAGAGAAAGAAAGAAAGAGAGAGAGAGAGGGGTTAGAGAATAGATTGTATAGAACTTATTCCAACCTCACCTCCATACGCTCCTGAGGGTCCCATATGCCTTACCGTCGTCGTTTGCTTGGGCCAGTGGTAATGTTTTCCTCATTCGATACGAGTCTTTCAAACTTTTCGATTCAATCTCCGCGCGCAATTCTTTATTGATTTTTCTCACATAAAATTACATAAATTTCTCAATAATTGAATGTGAGACAAGTGTTTATCAATAAAACATTATTATTAATATTCTGTGACGGTTAAAACTGTGTGTGTGTGTTTTTTTTTAAATAAATTATTTGCAAGTAGTGACAATCGTTCTGTCAATGTGACATTTAGTTTGATTTTCTATTATCTAAGAGACAATGATATTTTCTCATTGGATAATTGCAACATTGTTAAATCATTATTTATTTGATCTTAATTTTTCCCGGCAAAAATTTTATTAGAAAATTTTTTTTATAATTTTTTTTTTTAATATATGTTTTTGATAATTTTAGAACAATGGGTCAATTTTGGCTTGATATACTATAAGGGGTAATATTGTCCTAATATTAGGAAACAAAACCAAATATTATGAGGGAATATTAAGACATTGCCCTAATATTGCTTGAATAAACTGTGGTGCAATTTTT